ACAGGTATTCAGTGTTTGACAACGCTTCCACCAGTAACACCTTCTAATATATTTCGTTCCCGCCCAGAGAAATCAAAAGACAGAATCGAGGAGATCGGAAGAGTATATTTGGCGATGACCAATATATCGGAATTCTCTGATCCAATCTGGCTAGCGATTGCGGTTGATGTTGAGCACGGCGTTACCACACGTGATCTGGTGCGGATGCCTGACCGAGCGCCTTCAGCTAGGTGAGCCCACTAAAACATATGGTCAGCATCCAATGTCGAAAACTTAGTGCTATTTATTTTGGGGATTTATTTACCGCTACAACATAAATTCTATTAGAGCTTGTTAATCAACCATCTGAGCTAATAATTATTATACATGACCAGTTTTTAGTGTCGACTGAGTTGATATGTTATGAACACTAATCGATATAACATTACGATAATACATGTGAGCATTAATCAGGGGACTAATGGAATAGTGGGTTTACATAAGTAAAAATTGATCGAGAAAGTTAAAGTGGAAGTAAGGATTATTGGTAATAGAACAATATATTTAATATGGATAAAAGATTATGTTACGACACTCAAGAGTGATCTTGCCTGCGAGGCAAAGCCATGCCGCCCGATCAATTGGAATTAATTGGATTAATTCATCCTGCTTTCTCCTTCGTTGGGTTTTTCTCCACCCAGTGCCACTACAACCTCACTAGAATGGACATCCTAGTAATATGTTGACCACCAACTAATGTGAGTTCCTTTCTGTTTAGTCCCAATCAGTCTACAACTTTCCGCACATATTTTTCGGACCTTCAATTGGTTTTATGTGATAATTAGAAGCATTTGAATTATAGTACAAACCAAGAATCCCAGAAAGAACGCAGTTGGATCAAGAAGTACTAGATAATGACGAACAAATGTACTACGTTTGGAATTCAAAATCAAGCGTTCAACAAGTACAAGGGAATCATTAGTTCATTCAGACACCACATTTTGGTTCGTAACCTAACGCCTTGTTTCAGCCTCATATTCCAACTCTATTCTCTTTGGCGGGATAAGCACACATCTGTCTTTAAACCTTCCTAATTACTGCTTCTTTGTTAAGAATCTTGTGCTTCATTTTACTGCAACACATAATACTGCGCCCATATATAACCCATACTTTACAAGCTGAAACTGTCTGATATGCTTGTAACATGGTAATTCTGGGATTAGTTGTAATGCATCGTGTAGAATATATTTAATTTAACTATCACCTTGATGAAACCTGATGTCGTAAATGATGATGAAAGGTGTCACCAACTAGCAATCATGATGATAGGGGCTATGATTTCAAACTGCCAGTATTAGTGACTAAAAGTGTCTTTTTTAATCTCTTAACAGTGAGGAGTGTCTCAGTCGCATTTTCATCCGAATTGATAGGTTTCTCATTTCCACGAATTTGGTCTGTTGAGGGTTTAGTAGGAAACGTGCAATTCGGTATGAACTTTCGATAGAATTCCGTGAAGCTACTGAACGCACGCAATTGCTCGATTATGGCCATTTCTGGGTGATACAAAATGACCGGCGCTTCGCTTTTCAGGATGTGGATTCCTCAAGCAGCAGTAGTGTGTCAGAGGAAATCTAGGGAGCCTTTTACGATTTGAAATTTCTGAATATGTACACTGATTCTATGTCGTTTGAGTCGTTCGAAAACATAGTCCAGACGCTAGAGATGAGATTGTCTGTCCGGACTTGCAATAAGGCAGATACCTCCGTATGTGTCAGTGAAGTTGAGACCCATGAAGACGTAATTGATGAATCGCTGGAAAGTTTGTGCAGCTTTTTTGAGCCGAAAGGGATGAGCGAAACTTAATGGAGCCCGAAGAGGTTGATGGTAGCAGTTTTAGAGATATCGTCTGCAGCCATGAGGTATCGGTAGTATTCTGTCACAAAGTAGATATTCGAGAAAACAGTTGCGTCTTTCAAGGTAGCTGTCACTTTGTGAATATGAGGCAACAGATAACGATCAGGAATGGTTTTCTCATTCAGTCAGTTGGACGCCAATTATTGCCGTGCCTTTAAGGCTACATCTGTAAATGGGATACCCATTGGTTGTTCACGGACTGGATGATTCTCAAGTCTATCAAGTGGTCGAATTCGTTTCGTGCTAGCCTTAGCTTTTTGGGAGGTAGTTGTCACGCTTCCGAGAATACAGGTGGTCCTGTAGTTGTGATGCAGTGTACAACATGGTGTGCCACATACGGTAATTTTGATTGCGTTTGGTACACTTTACCGTACTTATCGAGTATCCGTTGATAGTATGGATCGATTATGTGCCTAACAGTTACTGAGGATAACCTGCAGCCAGAAAAGGAGGTTAAACTGATAGATACATCAGCATTTCTGTCCATTAACTCCCATTTGTGCGTGTAGGTATGTAGAATATGTTTTATTAGGTCTATACCTTTGACTAGCATAGAAAAGCCTGCAACAACAGGAATCTTGTGGATGAATTCGCGTAAACCCACATTAATGTGAACATATCGCTCGCCATATGTTGTAATCAGTTTATTATTTGACGAATGTGAGCGGTAAACAGGTCCGCGCAGTCGGTAGTTAAATTTGCTGGAAATATACCTACTTCTGCCCTAGTGCCGATGAGTTATCGAACTTTCGTAGTCACATTTGTGATGTGTAAGAAACGGCTTTGTTCGCCAGTTGCGGTTGCAGTTAACACATGCTGGCTACGAAGTTTACCGAAAAGTTTTTCTTTCCGGACGGCTTAAAGCTTGTGGAGTTATGATCCACTTTATTATTAGTACTGCTCTAATAATAGACCAAATCCTAAAATTGTAGTTTAACCATCATATGACTACGTAGTCTACAAGATCTTACGTGGAAATCACATCAATATCTACACCGACTCGTCCATTATATGATGCAGAACACATTTAGACGGGAGATAGAACACTATATTTGATATGAAGGAAAGAGATAATTGACCCAAGAATGAGCACACCTGCAAGGCTGAGCGATGCCATCCGATGGATTGAATTAATGTTTCCGCGTCCTACATAATTAACCTTCTTTTTGTGTCAATTGTTGAATATGGGTCTTTTCACTAATTGTGCTGTTGAAGCCCAGTGCCACGAAAAGTTCGGTACCGGCACCAGTAAGGTTTATCCGTTTTTCATGTTCTACAGACAGATGTTTATGGTTACGAGTTTTTCCGAAAAGTTCGGATCGTCTAAAATTATTATGAATATCGAGGAAACGAGTTAGACTGTGTCAGTAGTATGTAACGTTGTTTTTAGTTGTTTGAGGCTTTTCTTTGATGGAATAGACCTCATCGTTAGGGAGATTCTAATGATCTCCAGAGTCCGGTCAGCAGGTGCAGTCAATTCATCTACAGGGTTATTTTGGAACGGCACATGCACTGCCTTCGCCTGTTGAGGAAGAATTGACAAGAAGAGCTGTTAAAACAGGCTGCTATCAAAGGTCCGTCGACCAATGACCTCCTGCAACATTTTTGTTGTTTAGCAATGTTGCAGCTCTATGTTTTGGAAGAAGTGGTCCTGCGAATCACCAGCGTAGATGTTATGTCTCGAATGATTGGAGGCCTAATGGAGTTAGACGGGAATGGTGTGACGAACCAGCTAACGTTGAAGTCACACCTCGTGGTCAGCACCTTGCGTGGACTGACCAATTGACTCATCTAGGTACTATTGATGCTCTGAAGACTGTACAACACAAAGGACTTTATTGCAGAAATATATTAGTTAAAGTAGATAAAATCGAAGGTAAGACCACCAGCACATGGGCCAGCCCATGGCGTACGAATACCTGACGCGCGTCGGTCGTCCTTGAACTTGACAGGGATCGATGATAGGTTCGATATTCAGTGACTCAAGTGCCAGATGATTTGGCTAGGGCTCATTGACATTCCGCTGACCCTACAGTCTAAACTTTGTCGGTTGGTTAGGTCTCCACATTTAATGTTAGCCTTTATTCAAGTGTCACAAGGTTCCGGAACATCCCTAGTAAGCATACTGTGTGCGACATACCTACTGAATTCGCGTAGTATTGCCTCACTACTACAAGGAACTGTGCACGTGTGGCTGTCACGCCGTGCCCGTGAAAGTCGTCAGTATAACAGAACCAGATTTCTTTATTATCAGGCGAGAATGGCAGTCGCAGAAGTGTCTTAATGCTAAACAACTTCGGAGTCTGGTCCGTCATTATGAAGATATAATTTACCATTGTGCGAAGAAAAATATCACAATATATAAAAATGATATTAAAAAAGATAGATAATGTTCCGTAAGGGAACAGACTCACACTTTACTATTCGGTGTATTAAATCACGCCAGTCTTACCACTAAAGATGCCACAGGTATTCGAAGTTTGACAACACTTTTATGATCAAGGCATGTCAACCCAATCAAATCAGATGACAGAAGTGAAGAGGCTTAAAGACATATTTGAAAGAATGTCGATATATTGGGAAGCGTTCACTTTAAGCTGGCTAACGGTTACAAGAGATGCATGACACGGCGTACCCACTCGTGATCTGGTGTGGGTGCATGACCAAGCGCCTTCAGCTAAGTGTGTCCATTATAATTAGTCGGGTCGGCATCAAATGTCGAGGACATACAGGACATTTTATTTTGGGGACTTATTTACCTCTTAAGACTATTCAGTTCTGTCCAACAATTTTCAATATTCTAACTCCTATTCTACAATTGTAATTACAAACAAACACCAGTAACCTATCCTGACAATTGGTAACTCTGGCGACTCATCTGAACTGAGAAAATTTCAACCACTCAAGCTAACAATGTACTAATCCCCAAGTAACCATTAAATTTATTAGGGGGATTGTAATCATGTGTAACCTTACCCTTATCAGAGAAAAAGCCGTTGTACTAACAACAAAACGGAAACGTAGATAAATTAAACAACTGAAGGCAGCTCGTCACATAGTAATAAACTATTAGTCACTCTGGAGGTCAATCAAATCTGAGCGCAACAATGGGCAATCCTAGGGTTTTTTTCGTTTTATTATCAGACGGTTACTTTAAAGTTAAAAATGTCGTCTGGGGATGTGATCTTGTGTTTTTCAACCAGTTGGTGGATTCCTACAAACAAAAGGGGCTCAACTTTGGTGTAAACAGTTTAATACAAATAAATATTTCTGTGTTTGTCCTTTTCCATGAACTGGTAAGTATTCTTTGGTTTGCTCATTAATTTCAGTTGAATAAGAGGTCACTGTTTTTTTATCTAACTAGTTGTGTTAATAAATGCAAAACCATTGCAACTCTGTCACATTACTATCATCATCGTATATAATTGTTAGCACCAATTATTTGGAATAGTTCAATGTTACGTAATATCCGTCACAGTGAGGCACACTAATTTGAGACTTTTCCAGTCCGTCAGCGGTTTTTTATACATAAGCGGAGTCCTCGTAGTATGCGGGTTTTTCCCATCGAGCAATGAAGTTTGGGAACCAACTACTAGGAGAAATGGTATCCGGACTGTTAGTTGATTTGCACAAGAAAATAATAAACTCAAAGTAGCACACTCACATAGGTTCTTACCCTTCTGTTCCCAAAGTGTAGATCTACAATCTAGTCTGTTTAGATAGTTGGCATAGTCACCCGTTTTACTGACTATTAGATCAGTATCAGATGGGTTTTGTCGATATTATAGTAATTTCAATGGTTAAGACCATGAGTCAGTTGAAGCTAGACCACCGTGGAAAACCTGAAAACACTGGACGGCCGTTTCGTCCTATCGTGGTACTCCTCGCGCGCAAAACCAGTAGGTCCTGGGTTCGAATCTCGCAGGGGGCGAGGTCGTGGATGCGCACTGCTGAGGAGTCCCACAATATTAGGTTAGTGTTTATGCTTCCTTAAGGAGTTCTGTCTGGGTTGGAGGACAGATTTGAAAATGCCTGATTTCTGTGTTTTATTGATGTTAACTGCATTTTAGTGGTTTGCTAGGGAATGCTTCCGTGAACCTCTACATCCATTTTAGGAGACAGACCAGTATCACTAGCTTATATACAAGCCGTAAATTCCCTTCAAAGACATAAGAATCCAAATGTTCGCCACGTCAAATTATATAAATGTGACATACTTCTCGCCATTTTCTCGTAAGATGTGTTTATTTGTATTCTGGGTAACGATATACATGTAAATATAATGCCAGATATAAAAGACAAGCATCCCACTTCAGTACGCGGCCCTCATGGGCACAGTGTAATAAGAAAGAAAACTTGCAACTTTAAGCCTATTTCTGTCCCGACTTCAGAGTTGATTACATTTTTAGGTCGGTTTAGAACTATCTCATCTAGGGACTTCAACAACATCTAGGTTTGGAACTAGCCTGATATCCCCCAGTTTTTAGTTCCTAATTTCCATCTAATCATCAGAAGCCAATATGACATTGAACAAACTGTTTCCTCTGTGGTTATATGCCCTTTCTCACAAACTAGGACAATTAACCGTCGATGTTAAACTAATAAAATTAAGTTCTGTCTAATATATGGAGCGTTTAATTGATTGGGTCAATTAACTAATTTTTACCTTATGATTTAGTGAAGTTCGTCAACCATTCTTAACTTTTGGGGTTAACCTGTCAGGTCCTTTGTCCTCATCGCTCAAAGTTACCTATTGCGTTTTCGGCCTATCTAGTATTCAATAGCTCTCTCAATCTGTTATTCAGACTACTAGAGGTATAAGGTAAATGAGGTCAACCAGTTAGTCATGATCGATGTAGAACCCACGACATATATACACCAGTCTAAGTTGTCACACGGCTAGATAAAATAATCGGAGCAAATCCTAGAGTAGATGTAGTAACAGTGGTAGTGATGAGAAAAAAGATTAGGCACAGAAGAGATGATTTAAGAAAGTTAGTAGAATCGAACAAATTTTTAAGGTAAGTTAAAACATTAGAAAGGCCGACAAAAGTTGTGCACCTGCACTATTCCAAACGATTCTGAGCTCCGTCGACCAAAGTTTCCAACCATTGATTGCGACAGTCATCCAGATCCCAACCAGGCAGTCTACTTCACATATAACTCAGTTCACCGGTCAGTTTCGAGAAATGCCACGGCTTGGTTTGACCACGCTTAGCTTTCTCCCAGTAATGTCTAATGGCAAGTTAGATAAAAGTGGGGTGACCAGACAACCCTGAAGAACACATGAAGTTATCAATTCTGACGATAGCTCTCCATAAGCTCTTACTCGATTAACAGTGCTCGAGTAGAGAGCGTATACAAGGTTAGTGTACTTCCTTGGTACACTTTTCAATGACACAATACCATAAAACCTGTTGATCTATTGAATCGAACACTGCCTAGGTCTAGAAATATAACTACAGTTCGGAGTCGGTAGGTATGTCTGTGTTCCAAAAGCCGATGAAGGGAGAATATCTGATCGAAATACTTACATTCAGTTCTGAAACCATTCTGGTTTTCTAGGCGAGTCCTAGTTAACCGTCAGATTATTAAGGCCAATATTCTAGACACTATATTAATCAAACTGATTCCTCTATGATTATCACAAGAAGATTTGTACTTCCTTATACAGTGAACAATGATTAGCGATCGAGATCATTTAGATAGGATTACGTCCAGTTCCCAGGCTCTGGCTAAAATCACAGCCAACTTCTAAAGTTGAACTACTATACCTAATGATCTCCGGGATTAATTCATCAGGAACTGCTACTCTCCTTTACGCTAGAGTAGATATGTCTTTTCCTGCTTTTTTAAGACTCGGGATGTCTATATTGATATCTCCTTGGGTTGTCTAGTAAAAGTGAGCAACTGATAGGAAGCTAAAACAACACTTAAACCATTCTTCATTGTCTTGCCCATTGTTCCAGTTTCATTGGCTATAAGTGGGTTATTGCCCCATCTTTTTTAGAAACAGTCTCAAATTTTTATTACCTGTTTTTATGATAGGTATGTAAATTTGTCTACTGTTACCTATCTCGGCCGCCTTGTCCATCGCTTCTGCTTCCTCTGCTCATCACTGCTCAATATTATCGCGTAGACTTTTCAGTAGACGCTACAGATATTCATTAATTTTCATTAACCTTTAAGTCATGGTCACCTAGAAATTCCACTGTTGTTTTCAGAGCTGTCCGTGAAAGGCTCAAGTCCTAGGGTGTGAAATCGGGATGAATAGTCAGAAGGAGAATCGATTTTGGGAATTTTACGGGCGAAATATCGTTGTATTCCTTGCACCTTCAGCTTCTCACATTAGCATATATCGAAAAATAAGAACCAGCAGTATTCAATGATGGGTTTTAGATATGTCTTGTGTAAAATAGTTCTGGATTCATTTTGAAATAGGTTATGGAGAATAAAACTTAATTTGTACGACTCCAACAGTAATGTAAACATGTACGAAGATGACATGACTATGCCAGTGATACACTTCTAAGACATTCGTAGACACATGTTTGGGGATTATGTTGTTACTAAATGTGAGCCATATTTTGACTAGCGTGTCTCCCATTCACAACAAACTGAATTTCTACATGTTGACTTCTAAACTTCATTGTTTACATCTACTTCACTAGTTTCATTCCGGATTGTTTACGTAGTTCATCTCACTTCACCGCTGTCAGTCTTATAGACAACTTTCCAGGTATCTCTGTAGAGTAGACCTTACCTTTGTTGAAACATCTGCATATACTTTAATACAAATTGTGACGAACAATGAACCCAAGACAATACTTTGGACAACAACACTGATTATTTTTTGAGATGTGGGTGTTTCAGATTTGATTTTAATTCTTTGAAATCTGTTCGTTAGAAAAGATCCATCTCAGTAGAGGATTAGTAGTTTCTATGAACTTGAATTTATTGATTAAGGGGTTGGTAGGTACTATATCAAAGTCCATATTAATATAGATGTGCAGTATGATTACTAGTTGTTTTCGGTCGCGAATGCGAGTCATAAGACACGTTGCACATGACCTTTTTCTAAGGAAGCCGTGTTATAAGTGATCGATTAGACGTTCCCCTCGTAGGTGACCAGATGTTTGATGATTAATCACTTCTGTTGTGCGCAAGATGACGGGTATTATTTATTGATCTGCAGTTCTGTACTAGATTTCTCATTTCGGTCTATTGTTCGGAGACTACATAAGTTACCTTTAAGGTTTCTGGATATGTTTCAGCTAATAAAGAAATAGTAAAGAGTATCGGTATATCGGAATCCGGCTTCCTGAAAAATCCCTTCCATAGCTGCCACCGTGACGCGGTGATCGGGCTTGCCTATCGTGATGACCCAACCGAGCTATATTGGCTGGAACATATGTTCCTGTAGGTTCTACCATGCCAGACAGGTCGGTTGGAGAACGGTAAGACTAAAAGCAGCGACTCGAGGTCTGAGAGCGAAGTCGTACTGCTGACTGTAGAGGGGTGTGACAGCAGTAAGGTGTTTCCCTCGGACAACCAGCATCTGCAGCGATGCTGCCTTCTCACAATGAAGGAAGGGGTTAGAAAAGGTTGACCCTAAAAATGTCACACCTCACCTTACCTCACGGATTTCCGTCTCCGGCGGTAAGTCCCTTTGAAGAACAAAGCTAACACATTAGAAACCTTCCACAAAAAGGCCGTGCGCGACCGGCCTCAAGCAGTTGTCCCTTGGGTTCTGCGATCACGCTCCCAGGTCGGAACGCTATTCCTGGTCTCCTGAAACCACGATCTAAACTACACGTAGGAGCTTTTAACGTCCGAACACTGTGCCAAATAGGACAGCAGACTTCCTTAGCTAGGACTTTAGAATCTCGCGCCATCGATGTGTGCTGCGTCTCCGAAACGCGCATACAGGATCCGAGTAGCGTCATTCATTTGACCTCACCATGTTAAAGTAACGAACCAACTCGTTTCATGCTTCGTGTATCGGAAAAAGCTGGAAATATTATTCATTCTCAATCCAGGAGATTGGATCGATGGGCAGAACACTTTAGGGATCAGTTCAACTGGCCTTCAGCCACACTTCGGTTTCCCACGATCTCCAGTCGACCTGAATGGGAAGGTAATATAAGTCCTCCGACTTTTTACGAAGTTGAAAAAGCTATAGGAAATTTGGAGCGTGGGAGAGCAGCAGGCCCTGACAAGTTTACCTTTGAGATTTTTGAGGATGGCGGTCCAATTTTAGCAGTGAGATTGACTGAGGTCTTAGGTAGAATTTGGGAACTGAACTTAGTCCCATTTGTCTGGTCTCAATCACTGATTGTGTCTTCGAAGCATTGCTCGTATATCCTGGGACCACCGGACAATTAAGCAGTTGTTAGGAAACGGGTACTAGCTAAGGATGGCAAATCAATTGATGAAGTAGTAAAACTTCATCAGTTGAGATGGCTGGAACACGTGCTACGTATGCCCAACGACCGACTGCCCCGACGTGCGATGTTTTCTGGTGTAGGAGTAGGTTGGAAGAAAGCTAGGGGCGGCCAGACCAAAACATGGCACAAATCCATGAAGTTGCTGACAAGTGGACTGAGCCATGCTGATAGGTGTAGACTACCTGTTTGGGGTCTGCGAAATGATAGCAACCGATGGTTAGAGACCCTGAATGACATGGCTCAAAATCGCTTGCGATGGCGCAGGTGCATCCACTGTTTGTGTTCTCCCAAATTCTAATCTTCTGAATTCTTCATGTCCCTTTCTTTTTTCTCTTTCCAAATTTATTTCACTGAATTATACTCCTTGACTAACATCTTCAAACCCTAATCTTTCGGATTACTGCTTATACTCTTACTACCTCTACCACTACGAGATTTGAATCGACAACTGTGTCTCTTTGCTAATGTTGTATGGAAACTCGAACTGATTTACGTACGTACGAAGTTCTACGTTGTTACTGACTGACTGACTGACTTCCTGAAGAAAACATGCGATACCATTGGTGACTGAGCTTCTACTAAGTTTGAAAGTTTTGGTGGAATCAGTGATACTGCTAAGACTGGAGTTTGTATTACTGAGAGTTTGTTGCAAAGTAGTTAGCATCTGTATCAGGGATATGAGATGTACTCACATCGGTGGAGAACCAGCCACTTAATAGTTCACAAATGACTTGTCGGTCATCATATTTGACTCCGTTATTTGGCATAGAGGGGATGTTATAGTTTGCATCCTTCATTCATTTTTCTTAAGGACAACAGAGTTTCTGCGCTTTGAATATGCTCTTGGTCGCTGTATTACTGATATTCGCCAAAGCATTGGATTTCTCTTTCGTTAGCACAATTGTTTTTGAGAACATGGTGTATGTATGGTTACTAAGACTGAAGTCACCAAGTTTATGAAACTGAGTTGAGGGAAAAGTTTGTTTCTTATTTAACTACTTATGAATGGTTTATGTGTAGGTTTGGGAAAGTGTCATTGGAAAATTTGATCAAAAAGATATTCGAGATTTGTGTACGGTGTAACTAGGATTGAGATCGATTCATCATCTTAAAAGAAGGCTTCTCAGTTAGTTCTAAACAGTAGATTCAGGTCTTCCTCCTGAATTTTCCACATCAAGAGACGGACGGGTTATGCTTACTCGGATTATACAGAAATATGCCTAAGAGAGAAACATTGTGATAGCCACGTGTAAACAGGTAGCTAAAATGAATGGTACTCGGAAGGATACCGTATGTAAATATGAGGTCTACGGCGTTTTTGTTCGACTTGGGGAATAAAACATTCTGTATCCGTCCGTAGGATTCGATTGTTTTTGCTAGTTTTTTATACTTAGCGGGGACTTATAGGGACATTGTTGTCACCTAATATCCTCCAAGTAAATGAGAGCGAGGAGATACGTTCGGAGACATAGAGAATTTGAGAAGCTGTTTATTTGAATTAGGGGATGCGCATAGATAGCCCGGTGACAGTTTAGGACATGGTTTGTCAACAGATGGTAACCCAGTAAGCATAAATTCATCATCAAAAAGATGTTTTGCAAATAACAGATGTAACCACCTCAAATAAATGTACTACTATTTCTAAATGGTTGATATCCTTCAAATGAACTAGATTCGTGTATAATGTTAGTAGAGCACCGTCTGTTATAAGGACAGGTGATAGGTCGCAAATAATGCGTACCGAGTGTAAGTAGTTGAGTTTGTTCACGTTTGTACGGGCATTTTTGCGGAAAAGACCAAGTGATGAGTTAGATTGTATGTGTTTTGATAGGCCATTGATCAACGTATAGTGTTAAGTTGATGAGTTGTTAGCGTTATTAAAGATATGTATCCGACAACGAGGAATCAAAGAACGCAATGTTAGTGTACGGATTTTATATATCTTTTGTGTATGATTAACATGGCTGATAGAATAAAGGTGGTGGGAGAGTGGTATGGTGAAATATTAAACAAGGTCAAGAGAAACAGATCCAGTAAGGTGACTCAGATGAGTAAATGATTTACTTGCGAATTGATCAGAAAGGCTAGTCATGAAGCTATGGAAATGGAAGAAGACTTTCACTCACCTTTTAACCTTAGTTTGTAGAGGATGAATTTATGAGAGTAGAAATGCTGCGACCGCGTTGAAAAAGGGTGAGGTAATATTTCGAATCCACATTTTATTAGGAATACCTGAATTAAAGTAGAACTAGTTAAATGAGAAAAACAATCGCAGATGAGGTCTTCATCCATGAGTCGAGCTCTATATCAGATGAAAAAATTTTCTGTCCATAACGGGTGTTCAATGTGACACCAACTGTTGGTCTGAAGTTGGAATCAATTCTTGGTTTAAGCATTAAATGAGTTTTTCTCCGATTTTAATTCTGTCAACAGACTAACATCTTTATCCATTTACTTGTTTCAAACACTACGACTTTTTCTAATTTACAGTATCCATCTAAGGAAGCATCAACAATCCCAGCGGATCGAGACGGGATATTATCGACCCAGGTTCATGCGATTTCTTCTACTTACTTTGAGAAACAGGACTTTATCACAACCTTACATAAAATGGACCTAGAACTTTCCGTGGAGGAAGCACATTTTATTTTCCAGACTAACCATCTCCCATTGTCACTTTTCAGATCAGTATACCCTGGAGCATCTACAAAAACGGTGAGTTACGTTTTTCCAAATCTAGTATTTTAGAATCCACTAGTTCACTGTAAAGCTGGGACTTCGTCATTTGTTGATACTTGTGAAGTTGAAGTGGTTGCCGATCCGGATATATCGGTCAACGGTTTCCCCAGTCCTTCACCAACGTTTGCTACGGGGTTTCCGCCTATTTCCCCTACGGACTCATGGGTTGAACAAAACAACCGAGATTCAGTTGATGCTCAGTCTATCTCCTTGCTGTCTCTCAATCTAGATTCAGATGAAGAAAAAGGGACTTCCAGTTTACCAACAGCGTCCGGTCATAAAGTTTCCTCAGTCGAGTCAGTTAACAGTGAGGAAGTTTCTGTTCAAGAGACAAAAGTTGATTTACTTTCTCATTCTACTGTATGTTCAAGAAATTGTTCAGGTTATAGTGAAAATACAAATATTCATCATCAGGTCAGTTAGTAGTACATATGTACTCTTTCATGCTTGTTCACATTCATTTAAAGAATCAATAAAAATAGCATATGAATAATGTGCATTGGAAAATTAAATCAAAAATAGTTAGTGGATTGTGTATGCGTATACTTTTTTCATTTAAATTGCACCCTTACTGAGTTAAGATTTCTATTTTATAGATTTCAAAGTTAATTGCGTGCTTTATTGTAGTTGTATGTTGCATTAACGATCTACTTACCATTGAATACTGTCAGAATTTTATGTGCACTGCAAGATTTCTTAGCCCGGTAGCAAACTTAGTCAACAAAAAAATACGAGATCAAACTAGTAATCAGTATTCAACAATTTCAGGTAAATTATGTCAAGTTTATGCGGTTGTCAACTAATTCTGAAACTTGGTTATATACAGGCACCGTTACTAAATAACTATCTGGACTAAACGAATGTAGATTTAACGTCATGTATATTATTTTTCCATTGTTCGTTAAGTTTTAAAGTGATCATATGCAGATATTATGCACACATATTTTGCAAACAAGTTGTACTTGTACCTCTTGAAACCCACCACACATGACTTGAATGTTTTTTGGTTCGTGCGAAAATATTTACTTGAAATCCCCTCAATTATATTTAGGTCTTAAAACCTTCAGGAAACACTTTTACTGTGCCGTTATCAGACAATAATTCATGGGTTTCAGATGTCATGACACAGTCGGTGAACTATTTGCATCGAAAAACAGATCCTCAATTAAGGAGTGAAAGTTCAAGCAGTTTAGATGATCTTCATCGTCGCGGGTCGCTCGATGATAACAAGGAGTTAATTAATATTGTACAGTGTAGTTCAAGCTCTGATTCAGAACTTGACTATAAGTTTGATCAGGAATATTTCATTCACTACAATAATCTCCAGAATTCAAGAAGTTTGAAGTTAGTCGACACAAATAGCGTTGTTCACACGTCTGGTAATTGGCCACTAGATAATAGTAAACTTTCAAGATTAGAACACAAAAGAATCTACTCAGAACCCATTGATAAGTCTTTAGACACAGAATCACAAATTATCTCACCAATTTATCATCAAAACTCGTCCAGCTATTCTAATTCCAAAGACAATGTCTACGAAAAAAGTTCGTCTTCAACATGTTCCAATTCAGCAGTCAGCAAGCGATCTGATCGTTATATTCGCGATATTGATGTACTTGAGGTTGCTGGAGTCCCATTTTCATATGAAGATGTCGTATATTCGACAAATGAAGAGTTTCGCCATCTGAGAGCCACTCGTGGTTTAACAGAGGAACAGGTAAGTTACCTTACGTATTAGATTAATTGTTGAAACTGCTATCAATTTATTAGTGGAAAATAATGTATCAACTACGTAAAACTGATTTTCTTCCGTCACTGACGTAATGTTCAATTACGTAGATGAAAATTATATCATGAGAATCAGAGAAACTGAGAAAACAAGCATGTATGACTTTATAAAGGTTAAGTTTAGTTATATTTATAAGTGATTTTGAACTCTGTCAGCTATTATTTCCAACTTCTCTATCCCCCAAAACCCGAACTCTAAAATTACTTACGCCTGTTACCCCTCGTCAGGGAGCATAGGCCGCTCACCAGCATCCTCCATCTAACTCCGTCCTGGACAATCCTTCCCAGTTGCTATTCATTTTTCTCATGTCTGCTTCCGGTCCCCTTCAAGATTCCAAGTTGGCGCTTGCCTCGTGATGCAGTTTGGTGATTTTAACTTCCAGTGTCTTTTCCTAATTTCCTCAGCCGGAACCTAGTTTATTCTCTCCCACAGTAGGCTGTTGCTGATGGTTTCCGGCCGACTGGCATTGATTATCTTGTGTAGAAAATTGTTTATAAATACCTGTACGTTTTTGGTGATGATTGTGGTAGTTCTCCATGTCTCAGCTCCGTGCAGTAGAACTATCTTAACGTTCGTATTGAAGATTGACTGATATTGGTTGACAGTTATTTTGAGTTCCATATACTATTCAACTGTAGAAATGCTGTCCTTGTTTTTACGTCTGCATCCGGTTCTCCTTGTTCATCGATGATGCTGACCAGGTACGTGAAAGTTTCCACCTCTTCTAGAATTTCTTCATCAAGTGTGACTGATTTGGTCTTCTCCGTGTCGTATTTGAGGATCTTGATTTTTCCTATGTGTATGTTGAGGCCTACAGTTGCAGAGCTCTAAAATTAGGTAGATAAATTTCTAGAAAAAAATGTATTTTGCCATTGTTATAAACCTTATCTTTAGTATTTGTTTACAGTCTATGGGGATATTCTTCGGTTTGGGCACCAGGGCAGTATCACAGCTCTCACACCTATCAAATGAGATTTGTGTGGCGCATATGTATTTGGTGCCTCCATGTACCAATAGCTATGTGTTAAAATAAATAAAAATTAATATTCTATTTTAAAAAGCAAATAGTATTCCGGACTCTCAGATTTAACAGGTGTACTCCTATGAATCCTAGAACATATACGTATTTTCCTAATCTAACGTTCACTTGTTTCTTTTCAACATTCAGCTAACAGCTATGTCGGATGCACGTAGACGAGCTACTAACCGTCAAGCAGCCGAACGATGTCGCCGTTCTAAGGTTGCTGCTCGTGATGAATTAGCAGAACGTCTGGCTGACCTTCGCTTACAAAGGCAGGCACTAAATAAGCGTCTGGTTAAAGCTCGTCAACGTAAACGTGATGCAAGGTAATGTAGGTGTACATGATAAGCGCTTGATTAAAAAAATATAGTTTCTCTGCAATTATTTCATTAACCTAGGTCATACACGCAAAACTGAACTCAGTCTTTTTACTAAGTTAAATTTCTCTTAAATTATGTTGCTCATGTTTCCAGGAATGTGGTAGGAATGCCGAAAATTACATTTCACGTTGTCCTTTTAAAGAAATCTCATACTTCATAAGAAAGGAAGTGTACCTTAAACATGTTATCTCTATGTCTGTTATTATCTAGCTGCTAAGTATGTCAGATAAAAACATTAATTGGGCTAGAGTAGAGTACGTAACACATTCTGTGTTTATTCCAATTCGGTTATATTTTACAGCAATCTTGTGAAAAAAAAAGAATTCAGAGTGAAAAGGTAGGTCAGCATAAATCAAGAAAATGCCGTTTAAGTTTTTGAATGAGATCCATACATCACGTAAAACCATCAGCAAAAATAAAAATGTAGTGCTCAAAAGGTTGGAAATTATAAGGAAAAATTAAGATTGTTCACTGCAAGATTATAGTAGTAGACTTATCAATCCCAATTGTTTTAAGCTCGCCCTTTGATTTCTTATAGCAGTGTTGAAAAGGCCTTGTAAAGCTTGAAAAGGGGGAAGCAGGAGGTCCTAATGAGTTAATCCCGGAGATCATTAGGTATAGTAGTTCAACTTTAGAAGTTGGCTGTGATTTTAGCCAGAGCCTGGGAACTGGACGTAATCCTATCTAAATGATCTCGATCGCTAATCATTGTTCACTGTATAAGGAAGTACAAATCTTCTTGTGATAATCATAGAGGAATCAGTTTGATTAATATAGTGTCTAGAATATTGGCCTTAATAATCTGACGGTTAACTAGGACTCGCCTAATAAACTAGGACTGATCCAGGCTTCATAGGTGGTTACCGTACGGAAACTGCAACTATTGTTAGAGAAGTTAGGTGACTGTTTAGAATCGTTTACAATACTGCAAATTCATTCGGACTTTATCTTATTGTGCTCAGTCCTTCACGTCCTATATTTCTTGAGCTATACCTTTTTGAATCGTAGTTTCAGTTTTCGGCTTTTCTTCGCTCCTTCATTTTCTCGATTCGTTTGTTATTCACTGACTCATGTTAATGCGCTATGGTAATATGAGGTAATCCACGTTTGTGCCGGGCTTTACATTAATTATTACTGACTCGTGATATTCCGAATACTCGGTCAAAACATCACAACCACTTGTAATGAAGAAGTCATACTTCCTGCGTTTGTAAATTACTTATACGAGGTTGATACTGAAACGCAAAGCTGCGGTACGCCTCTTTTCGCACAGTATGTTGAAATACGTAGAAATTAATTATCGATCTTTTAAAGGAAAATAGGGAGCATTAGACTTGGCACGTTGTCATTTTAACGTTTAAAATCAAGCTAAATGGTTGTTTCTTATATACATATTTGTTATGACGTGGTGTGACTGCAGGTTTTAATAAGCAGCGTTTATTGATCGACTCGGTGACAGTGACACGTAAACATGAACGGACGGCCTACAGTTCTGATTGGTCCTGCTTCCCTGTCCAGCCCAGTTAGTTCAGTCCAGAACACAAGCCACAGCCTCTGAGATATGAATCATTATATTTCAAACATACTTTGTTTATATACCAATCAAGCATACCACATCGTACCATAAAATAGAAAACAACATTTTGTACAATATTCAACAAGTGAACAAATATCGACCAATAGGAAATGTCCATTTAAAGTCCAAGGACACCATTGGACTTAACATGATAATTATTGGTCTATTCCTCCGCATCCACAACAATATTCATTACTAATTACATTATTTAAGAAAAACATGAAGAGTCATCTTAGAAATCCTATTGCAACCCCAATTATTTCCCAATGGTTTGAATATATAAATAAATCATTGTGTATATGTGTTGACAATGTCGGACAATTTTTCTATTTCGTTAGGCCTGATTTAACTAAAGCAGCATATCTTATAAAACCAATGTTCTAATGAATTAGGGATGTCAATTCTTCGTATTTGGACGAAGTAGTTTCTTAACACCTGAAATAGAAATCACAGTTAAATCTGTCACATGTTGATTGTAATACGGAAGCAGGTTTTTGTCTCTCTTCCACTAAACCGCTTTATTCTTTTTGTGACTTTGTTATTTAATGTTTATAATGCTTAAATGTTCATTCCATTTAGCTTCTCAGAATGTTCTGTTAGAGTCGGATATTTTATACACAGAAATATTTCTATGCACTATGTAGATTAGTAGTACCGCTTTATTTCAGTAAAACTTAGTATTTACGCAAGTGTAAACTTTTAACTTGAGAACGAAAAGCATATTCATGTACAGTATACCGCATTTTTTAAGGTTAGTATTTTAGAAACAGTTTTCTGGATTAGCTTTAAAGACTTAGATTTTGCCAATATTTTTTCCCCGTTAGCTTTTTATTTTAAAGATGAACATACAAAGCCATTTCGCAGTGAATATAGACAGTCATTCGATTTTGTTTCTTAATTTTCAGAGATAATCTTACTGAAGAACAAAACCGTCTGTTGCATATGTTGCATGACTCTAATGGTTGCACATTAAAACCTTCCGATTGGCGCATTCATCTAACTACAGAAGATGAAATTGTGGTTGTATCAGTTGGACATTAACTCAATAAACTTTACTTTTCAACTCTCTAAACAGTCTTTCACCTAACTATCGTTATGTTTGCACACTTACTGTAAATACATTTTCCCCAAACTACGCATTTTATTAAAATTTCACTCAAAATCTTGCAAATACTTGTAGAACTTAGTTCATCTTAAAACTTCTCAGAATTCACTTTTGAAGTGTATGAAATTTCGTAATGCTTTCGACCCACGTAAAATTTACTTTATACTACCTAGTTATTGATTTTATTTCCGCTATGCACATACTCATATTTAATAAGCAATTAAATTGTCTTCTGCCCCAACCATAAATGAAGTAATCAAAGACTTTTAAATCAAACTATATTATGGAGTTTAAGAACTTACATACTAGCGCTTGTAATTCCATTTGTATACTGTGATGAGGGCATAGTTCCTCTAGGTACTTGACTGTACAACGGCTGTTCATATTGACCTATCCCATAGTATGCAGTATTGATACGTTTATCTAATTGATACCGAGGCGGATTCATGGGCGAACTATAAAGTCTTGGATCTGGTGGTACTGGACTAGGATACAAATATTGGTTTTGTCTCATATCACCGGAATAAAGTGATTGACCTGCACTTTCAACTACTGCGACATCTTGCGGACTCCCGAGAATACCGCCATTACTCCCGATAACTCCATCATCCGGGCCACCAACAATAGAAGAGTCTGAGTACTGTGGGTTCTGAGCAATTGTCCTAGGCGTGATTTCCATTTCGTCATCAGAAACAATGTTTGTTGCAGTTGGTTGGATTTGTTGGTCACTAGGATACGTGATAGCTGTGTGACTTTGTACAGGTTGTTGTTCAACTAAATATGTTGGTTGTTTGGGATCAGAATTCATGGTTGGTTGCACAAATAGTGGATAGGAGGGTACATCAGACTGAAAAGTGGAGTAACGGTTGATGTATTTTGTTTTAGGACCCGGGAGATCCGTTTGCTGATCCTGCCGTGCCATCGCATATGGTGAACGTTCTGAGACTGGATAGGATACGAGATACGTATTGCCTCTCCATGAATTTGAATTGAATGTACGAGGATTGGATGCCACAGCTGTTTCACTAATCTGTATGGTGGAAATAATCATAACGACAAGTAGGGTTGGTTTTAAACTGATCATCGCTGCTAAGCTAAATGCACTGCCGGTAGTAATCATATTTATAAATGATGTTTGACCATGTTTTAAATGTATTTGAGTTGGGTTCAGCTTGAATACAACCAATCAAATCATACATATGATTGAGTGAGCGTAACTCATTCATCAATTTTTTAGTCTCAAAAATTACTACCTTAAGTTAATGTGCCTTCGTATGGGAAAATGAATTTCATAAATCTTCACTGTACAGAAGCACGATGATTACTTATCAGTTATTGATTAATAATCAGGAGTTTTCTTTATTTTACGTATACTGGATTGTCTAACTTAAGTGAAACTATCATAAGAAAGAAAACGATGGACAAAGTTTGTTATTTTGTTTCTAAGTTTTAATGATATAAATAGAACATACGAAATGAAAAATAATGAATGAGTAAAATGACCCAATAAATTTAGGGATGAATGTGACAGAGAGCTTCTGAAGAGAGCGATCGATTTTGAAATAATGCGTTCGACGCTTTTACAAGCTTATGAAATAATTAAGATTCAGCTAATGAAGACTAGAAGGTATATATATATATATATATATATATATATATATATATATAAAGTGAGTGGTGAGACAAAATTGTCATATGATCCAACAGTACAACAAAAATAGCAATCACAGTTGTTAATGTAAATTAACCAAGAGGAGGAATTATGTTCCTTTGAACAAGTGAATATTTATGATGTATATCTGATGGATATAGAGTGGTGACCAACAACACGAATTGTGTAAGACATCACAAACAAGAACTCCGTATGATGCTAGAAAATAATAACTCAAATATAAACATCTTGATAACGCAACAGAAAATACAATAAGAAGTTCAAAATCCACAGTCAATACAAAAACAACGGTTACAGTGACGATTAGTCACAAGCATACAGAGACGTAAGTCCCTACATCGTACATGTTATTACGTCAGATATATATATTAAGGAGGAAAACCGAAGAACGAAAATATAAACATAATGTTCACTCGTCCTCAATATGAAAGTAGAATATCGTTCATCATTGTTTTTAGCACATAGGTTAAAGTGAGATAGAACACAGTTACGAAATCTTGTAGGCCCCGAAATACTAAGTCAACAAAGTTACCTGAGAGCAATCAAATAGGGAAATAAGGAAGGGTCAATTGCTGCAATAATAGTCTTCTTTAGAATGGCAAACCCCAGCGTTTGTCCTTTTTCTCGTATTTGGCAGCGAGAATAGCAGCAGAACGACCAAAACCTTTAGCTTGATCAGCCATCTCTTGCGTTTGTAGGTCTAATTGCTGTAACCGCTCACCACGTTCGATAGCAGCATTTCTAGCTCGTGCAATTTCAGAAGAGGCAGCACCAGTTTGACCAGATAACTTTTCCAAACGAGCATTTGGTAGCAGAGTAGTAGCGCCAGGTGTCCCCTTCCCCGAACTTGCTTCACCAACTAAAGCAAGAACAAACTAGAGAATGATAATTTCTGTGTATTTGTTACACGATATAAACCACCTAAATCCACTGGTGTTGATTTGTGACTACTGTGCTGAGCATTATAATATCTCATTACAATGACTATCAATGAAAATGAGAACTTTGGTCTAAGTAAAATGCAGCTTGACAAAGTGCGGCTGCATACGGAATTTGCATGGCTTATGTTTACCATGCTCCAACATATTAAAAAAGTCAAAATATGTTTCAATAATTACATAACAACGATGATTAAGAGAACAGTAAAGGCGATTAGTAATCGTAATTTACAGCCAACAAACCTAGATAATGTTTCGTTGCTTATCTTTGTTGTGTGCTCAGTGAACACTGAGTTTGAACATCTTTAATAAGTAACCGCCCGACCGCAGCTGCTACCTTGATTTGATGGCATACCTATTGCGATAACTCAACTAGGATATATTGCTTGGAATAAATATTCCTTTAGGCCCTACTATTCCAGGTAGGTCGGTTGGGGAGCTTACTTACTTGTACCTGTTACCCCTCGTCAAGGAGCATAGGCCGCTCACCAGCATTCTCCATCTAACTCCGTCCTGGACAATCCTTCCCAGTTGCTATTCATTTTTCTCATGTCTGCTTCCGGTTCCCGACGTAGTGTGTTCTTCGACCTCCCTCTTTACCGGTTCCCTTCAAGATTCCGAGTTGGCGCTTGCCTTGTGATGCAGTTTGGTGATTTCCACTTCCAGTGTCTTTTCCCAATTTCCTCACCCGGAACCTAGTTTATTCTCTCCCACAGTAGGTTGTTGCTGATGGTTTCTGGCCGACTGGAATTGAGTATCTTGCGTACACGACGGTTGGAGAACGGTAAGACTAGAAGCAGAAATTTAGGGCCACAGGGCGAAGTTGTACTGCTGACTGGAGTGGAGTGTAACAGTAGTAAGGTGTTTCACTCAGGCAACCAGCATCTTTAGCGATGCTCTCTTCTCGTAACGAAAGCAACAGGTTAGAAAGGGTCGACTCTATAAATGTCACACCTTACCCCAAGGATTTCCGTCCTCGACAGTAAGGCCTTTGAAAGTGCGAATCCAACTCATCAAAAGCTTCCCATAAAAAGGTTGTGCGCTACCGGCCTCAAGCAGTTTTACTTTGTGCTTTGCGGTCACGTTTCCAGGTCGCTAAGACCACCAGAAATTCAGCTTTTTGGGGTCCATCACGAAGAAAAATCCAAGTAGTAACAACCGCCCTCCTATCGCTACAAACACCCGGGACTATCTTGTTGACGGTTGAATCCCTCTTTCATCTCTTAATCGTTCTTCTATCCTCACAACTAATCCTTTGCGTGATTATCGTAACCAATGGTTAGAAACTTTAAATGACATGGCTCAAAATCGTTTGCAATGGCGCAGGTGTATCCATTCTTTGTCATTCCTCAAATCCTGAGATTCTAAATTGCTCATAAATCTTTGTGTGTCTTATTCCATTTATTTGTATTTTCTTTTCGAGTCGTATCTTCGGTGCCTAATCTTTTTTATTACCACTCGGTGTTCGAAATTCTACTAAACATAGAGTTGTTGATTATTTCCAACTTGCAGACTTACTGTCAACTTAACTGAAACCACTTTCATCTCGAGCATAGCCACTATATCTACTATTGTAATCTGATTTACTCCAGAATATTTATATATGCACAAATTAGTTCAAGCTTGATTTTGCACTTTCTATGACTGGTAAAAGCTGCCACAAAATGAACAGTACTGATAAAAGCATTTTCTTCCTACCGAAGACAAATTGCTTGTCTAAATATTTCTTACGATAGTTATCCGATTATATACTTTTACTAGGCTTGCACGCGACCTTTTTTAGTTAAATGACATATGGTAAATGTCACTTTAAGTGTGCAAATAACAATTTTACTGAGCCAAAAAATATAACAATCGAAGGTAGTCTGAGTTGATTCATTAACTCTTTCAACTATTCAATCTGATATTCTTACCACGATCGAAATGGTTAACTCTTAGTTATAAAATCAAATTGAAGATGAGAAAATTGGCACACACAAATCTTTAATTAGTCCTGACTACGTAAACATTTTATTACTACTGCTTAAACGCTGACGGAAGTGTTCCAAGAATGAGGAACTGACTGAAATGTCAGACAAAATTTAAAATGACCCATTTAATTTTAAGTGATAGGCGAAACCCTTGTTTGATGCAAAAACTTGGGAAATGATAGTGTTACAACGGTGCGATCAATTGATAAAATTATTGGAGTGCCTAAACCCTAACCGGGTTCACTTCAGAAAACTAAACCGCTAGAGAAAATTAGGGAATCAAAACTGCTTTCAACCCAGATAGTATGACTCATTTCACAATAAATGGCTAATGAAGAATGCAAAATGTAGTAAGGGAAAGAATAATTTACTAGTTTTCCCTGTCATATCCCAATTGAAATAAACATATCATTCATTTTCCAACTTAAAACTTTTTCGTAGCATATATACATATAAATGCAGTTATCGTATCAAATGTAATCTACAGACAAACAAGGCTTCTATTTACCAATTTGGCACGCATAAGCAAACTTGTCAACATTAATTTCGCAAAAGTTAGTCAGAAGACGTTCGTTAAAAGCATTCAGTATATATATATATATATATATATATATATATATATATATATATATATAATGGTAACTCAAATTTGCTTCATCTCAATAAAGAAATCATCTTCAATTTACAACCTGAATAATTTGAATACACTTTAAGGCAACTACAATCATTTATTTGAGTAAAGTTATGATTTTAGGTTTTGCTAACTTCACTCTATATCCAGTGCAACCCGAAGTTTTCACTTAGTTTCACTGAACGAATCTGGCCTAAAACCTATTGTATGAGTTCGTAAATATGATACGAAACAAAATGATCACTCTAAATATTAGTGACAAAAGACATTGAGATTGTCGATAAAGTCTCACTATGCCAAAAGATGTACTACTCAAAAACTGAAAGTAGAATAACTCATTGTAAACAAAAGAAAGTTGACTGATTATGGAAAACAATCTGAAATAAGAGCAGGCTAAATAATTATCAGTGGTTTACGAAAAGAATAGTATGAACGGTATATGAAATAAAATTATGAGAACTCAGCAAAAGAACTGTGACAGGAAGTAGTAATATGGTCAAACTTACACAATTCATCTCGATCTAATGAAGATACCAAAGTTCCACTTAACAAATTTTTGAAAAAGTTTTTCTTAGGAGGTTCTGGCATATTACTTGGTAGAAATATCTCACCTTGCATATCACGTAAATTCGCACTGTAAGTCAAAAAATAGAGCAAGATATGAAAAATATTTACAGTAAACTGTTCTAAGGAAACATTTGTAAAAGAATATTTTTAGCATTTGGAATTATGTAGCCTTTAAAGTGAAACTAGTACGTTAATTTAATGTTTCACTTATCACTCGGGACCATAAACCAAGGACTTGAATGTAGCCAGGAATATATTTGATAATCAATAGTGACAAAGGGAATATTTTACCATTTACTCAAAACTTAAAGTCGTCTCTATTGTGCAGCTTTAAAAAACCCAACCGTATCGTTAAATATTGAGTAATAATCAGTTGGAAAAACCCATTGACATTAACAATTCATAGCCAAAAAGAATCCTACCTCTTGTTACCTGGTTTGCTCAGAGTCATTTAATAATAGCAATATATTTTGTGTTAAAAAAACCTTCTTGTAATCATGATAATTATTAAAATCAATAGTCATAACATTCAGCTTTTTAAATATGTGTGGGTGTAAGGAGTGCGCAGCCAATTAAAATTAAACTGTACTGACAACTACTTTTTGAAAACGAACAATATGATCATAAGAATTTGACAATAGAATATGAAGCTTTTGGGCATCTGACTTGACAAGTCTACTCAATTAGTAACACTCAACCAATGTATTTATTCTAGGTAAATGGTTTCCAAATTAAAATGAGAATGTCAAAAGTGATAGTGTCTCTCAACCAATAAGTGGATAAGGAAGTTTCGCATTAATGAGCCGAAAAACGTGATTTTAGAGCAGTAGTTGACATTAAACTCCACCATTCTGAATGGACTGACGAATGATAAGATGCATCCTATGAAATCAGTAGTTTTTTACAGGTTAGAAATCTAAGACAAAAGTTTAACTAATGGGGCTCAGAGACAAAAACCTAGATAAAAATTATAGTCTTAATACACATCATGAAATTAAAAATGAATAGTAAGGACCGTTAGCTTTGCAGTTATATTGGGTTACAGAATATTATTACCTCATTATAAATCACCATAAACTGTTGAGCTAGTTGGGTTTTATGGAATTTCCACTTATATTTATATATATTCAATTGCTGTGAAAATAAGCACAACTGAAGAGACTAAAAACATACATAAATTCACATGTCATAAAACATGACAAAAATATTCATAATGATGAGAAACATTAATGAATACAAAAAAACAGGAATTACCAAACATCTGATGCCCAGGTGATTTTAGTTAATTCTGAGGGCGACACCAAATACACAGATTGACCATACTGACCAAATGCAAACGAACGGCTTACACATTCTGTATACGGTAAATAATCCACATCCATTAGTAAACGTAAACTCGGTAATGAGAAGGCAACAAAATGTCCATTTGCAAGATAACATGCGAGGAAACTAGCCGTTGATGTTCCGCTATTATGCGATGGTCTCAAACGTTGTACGGAAGCACGTACCACTTGACTTGTTTCAGTTATTTTTACCTGTATAAAAAAAAAGATTAAAATAGTATCCAAAAGGAATGAAGTTAGTGGACCTAGTTTAAAACTAATCATGATGGAATTCTATCTGCAACAAATAAGAGTAGTTTTACCTTATAAAGACAATTTTGTGAAGGAAGTGCAACTACTCGAGCTTGCTTTTCTGAACAAAGGACAACCAGCTGTCGGTCACACTCGATAAAACCTTTGGATGTTGTAGGAGAATCAAGTCCAGTTGTACCACTTGACTGAAATGTACTGACACCACCGCTCATAGTATTGGATAGTATAGTACCTGAAGAAAGTATAAAACAAACCAAAAATGATGACTTGCAGAATTTCAGTATTATGCAACAACACGCTAAACATACTTCACGTAGACACATAAAATAAGGTGAACTTTCTTTAAAGTACCCTTTTAGTATCCTGAGTGCATCGTTATAGTGATTGACACTTTCGTCTCAATCAGGAGACGAATCTCAATTTTCGTTGTAAAAATAAGTGGTAATTAGTTCAGTTCAGGGTAAAATTCCGGAACCATGAAAAACCATAGGAGTTATTGTAAAGCCGTTTCGTCCTAGTTTGTGATGCCTCAGGTTCTATAGGTTTACATGGTATAGAATCCAAAATCTTTATGCCTCATGACAAACACAATAAAATAGACAAACTAGGTTGGAACATTTATCCATACTTTGTCCAAGGTTCAGATAGTTATCAATTACTTGACAGGAAGTCAGTGAACGCTAGCTAATTATGAAATTTGGAATTCATAGAGAAAGAACAATAGAAAACTAGTAGTTTTAATATAAATTAAGATCAAATTTTCTAAACTGATAATATATAACTCCTTTACAACTAAATATAGGCCGAAAATAACCAATCAACACTACACTTGAACTTAAGAGATGTTGCGAGAAGTAAAAAACAGATTCTTTAATGAATGCAATTTGCGTAATAATAAAATAGTAGCTATACTAAACAATCAGTTGATTGGAGCTTAGAATATCTATCACCCAAACCAATATTAATTATGAAAACACTGGAATCTTTGATGCGTAAACTATCGGCGTACAATTGTGGCTAAATAAATGTGGTGAGACAGGTTTGGGGAATGTACTTAGTAACCTTACCACTCATTCAACTGATGTGGATTTATAGTTTTATAGAGTTATCTTGAAATTAATAAATAGGCGGTTAGAAATTAAAATCTTAATTTGATATATTAAGACAAACTAGATAAATGTCTAAATTTATCCTACGATGAAAAATGGTTGTCAAGAGACCGGTCAACTGTTCTAGCAAAAATTCACATCGTCAGTCAATTATTATTAATAAGAATAAAACATAGACGTTGAAAAGGAATGCTATCCCACGACTGAGATTGATATGAGAAATACGTCCGAAACACAAATATAAAATATGCAACAATTAGTGTTATAAGATATAGAAAAGACGATATTTGTGTGCTTACTAGAGTGACCCGATGTTGATGTTGAAGACGTATGTGTGGTGACTGTATTTTGTCGAATAACTGACTCTTTCAATGCTCGAACACTGCCACCACCACCACCACAAGACTTGAAACCAGTATCAGTTGAACTATATGCGTCAGCATTAGTATACATAGAAGTTCCTTCAGAACATATGGATGAACAAGATATAAGAGATGCTTGTTTCGAAAGTTCAGAGGCAGCACCACCTTTGAAAATAAATGAATCATCCCAACGCTCAGAAGGACTCGGTAAAATATCACCGGTATTATCCAACAGGCTAATGTGAATAATATCTCCACGTAAACGATACAAAGAAGCTAAAATAAAGAGTATAAATAAATAAGTAGAAATTTCTAGAATATTTATTGCGATTAGTCTTAAAAATCCGCAATATTTCTGAACGGGTGTGGTAACAGGCCTGTGACAACACTCATTAAGCATCTTTGTAGTCTATACATTACAGATATAAAATATAAGCCAGTAATATTACAAGATTACTTATGTTAATTTCGACCTCTATGTGTTTGCTTAAAAGAAGCACATATAGGCGCACATTATTGGCAAAGGGTAGATAGAAATGAAAAGATTGAAGAAATGTGTATTACTGGAGCCTTCGAGGAATTATTCCATTTAGAAAGACTAATCAATACAGAATATTAAATTCAGATGGTTAGATTTTTAACATAGGCTTACTAGTTGATAAAATTGTAGCAAATTTTCAATGACCATATATTTCGATGTTAGTTAACGTAGGATCACAGTTAAAATCCTATTGAGAAATGTATATAATTGTAATTTTTTAAATTGACTCTTCAAGTAAACGAAAATGTCTTAAATGGACATTGTCGAGTCGGACCCAGTAAATTTCCTAAAAGCATTCAACATCATTCCACTCTAGTCCTTTTTATGCCTAGAACCGAATTTTTCCGTTAACAAATTAAAATAATACATCAATTTGATGAGTGGTAAGTGATTACAGACAGTTATTTAAAAAAAGTATATTCCAATTATTAATACTTTTATTAAAATCTGATAATCATATTTTCCAGTCTGTAAAATGTTTATCTAGTTGATGTGTCAGTGAGAACTACGAATTTCAGACACATGAACGTTCATGTTTTCTAAATGAAAAATAGAAACCTAACTAAGACTTGTTTGACAGAATGTAAGATAGAGGTATATTTGATTCACATTTTGACAAAATTAGTCTATCGAGCTACTGAAATAATTCTTTAACAAGATAAATTTAATCGATAAATTCAGTCCTCTGGTTTTAGCTGAAAGAAGGGAAGAATCGTTCAGAAATCATGACAAATATTGCTGACTGGTTTTTGGATCGGATTAAGATTACGTATTTCCCATCGAAAACCGTGGTGTCACTTTATTATTAATTATCATATACAGAAGTTGGTTACAAATATTCATGTTAAACATTTGTATTTTATGGACAGTAAAAAAGACCAAAATATCCAGATGAAAATATTTATACTATATATTTGTGGATCTGCACAGCTGAGTCCCATACTAGGACGAAACGACCGTCCAATGCCTACAGGTTTTCCATGGTGGTCTAGCTTGAATCAGTTCATGAATTCAAGTGTTAAATAAAATATAAGAAAGTTTATTTAAGAGTTGCTAGATTGGACTACAATTTAGTTAATCTGCCCGATGTCTCAATAAAATACTGTTACAAGCTTATGGATTAATTAAAATTCAAGCATTGGATGAATGGACAAGCAACTGAAAACACAGTAAGTAATTTAAATATTAAGTATTTAATACTCTCTTATTAGTTTCGGATAAACAGAAAGTAGCGAGACATTCCAAAATACAATACAAATTTAGTGATTAAACAAGAGTAGTCAATATATACTTGGGTATTCTATAATAAAATTATTTCATCATGAGAAAAAAGACCGGTGTCTTAATAAAACGAATAAGTTAGATAGCTAGTTTTGCTAGCTTGCCAATACAAATGAACTTTCTATATTTCAATTCAGAAAGATTTCAAGCTCAATAATATATGTGTATACATAACATTGCTTTTGTGTGTGCAGATTGAAGACGAAAATCAATATTAACATTGAGCATAAATGCAAGATAGATTCTACTAATCAAGTAAAATTGACAGTTATTTAAAAAGTAATCAACTTGCATACAGAGATATAGGATAGATATACAAACATGCATACCAATATGACATGCAGACATATAACAGATGCACATGCCATTTAAGCTGGTACATAGTTATTTGAAAGAAAATCAATAAAACAGTTCAGGATTTAGGTAATTAGTTAAGTGAGATAAATGTCCAATATTCCTTGTCGTTTATTCACTCACCATACTTTTCTACTTTATCTGGTGACGTGAACAGAGTAACCTTTTTCAAACAAGTGGACAGAGCAAGAAAGTAGCTCGGATAATGTGAATGATCTCATTATTAATGCATTGATACATACATCTACTTTAAATTTCAATACAAAGTTTATTATAGGATGTTTTAATTACCATGGAATAAGCTGGAATACCGGTAGTTGTCAGTCATGTAATGGTGAATTCTCAGCGTCAATTAACATACACTGCTGGTCACAGTGGGTTTGTATCTCAACAATGAATGGTAATATACTTGATCTGATATTTTGTAGAGATATCATCCTACTGTCTACACAAGTATACAATCAATTTGAAAGTAGTGACAATAACATAGTAGTTGGTGCTCTCCCTATTTGTCTTTTTTATAACAAACCCATTCATATAGAGACTATAGGCATAGTGACTGGGACCTTCTGAACTCCCCGGCAAGATTATCAAACTGGGATACCTTCTACTTAAGCAATAGTCTTGTAGATGCCATTGACACATTCTATCTGATCACTATCTCTTGTTTATATTCCTGCACACCTCTTGAAACGTACAGGTTTAGTAAACCTAACGAATTATTTATACCAGCTAAATATTGTAACAAATTGACACCTACAGAAATGTTTTTTAAGTCAAACGATTTCACGTCAGTTGCACAAATAAGTATATTTTTTAACCAAATCAAAGAAAAATATTAATGAAGAGTTGTTAGCATTTCATAATGGCTCAAAAGTAGAAAATTCAATTCTTCTTTTCTATAGACACTCCTATCCTTTGCTACATCGATGCTTACTTCTCTGAAAATGTTATAAACGACCTTACACTTGTTATTGTATCTTATTCCAGAAGTGAGATTATAGGACCTTTAAATGTTTAGTTGTTTTTATTACTGAATATACTAAGTAAACCTACCTATCTGTTGTTACTTTACACTTACAACGTAAGTGTAACTAACTAATTTGAAAAATATCTAACACGAACAGTATATCATAAAGTAACCTGGCACATGTATTATGGTAGACCTAACTGACCTATCGTAGTAATTACTGCTTTCGTTGTTCAGTGCTCTCTGTTTCCATTTTAATTTTTCTAGTTATAGATGGTTATAATCAATTTGTTATGGCGCAAAGAATGACCTTAAATACATCAACAGGATATTCACATTAAAAGAATTAACAGTTTTCAGCTGATGCCTTTCCTTGTTGTAATACGTTTGAAAAATGTACTATCTAAACAATTTTTGAACGAGAAAACTTGCAACAATCTAATTTTCCATGTATTCTCTACACTTAATATTAGTATCTAAATCAAACTGATCACCCCTGTATAAACTGTCATGAATTCTGTAATTATTATTTTTAGAATACGTTATATCATTATTATAGTACTTTAACGACTAAGGATAGCTATTCTACGATTAACAGCATCATAACACTTCGTTTTTACATTACATCATAGAGATTGATCAGTATTTTCAGAACAAAACATCAAATACCAGTTAGCTATAATTAAATCCCTTGAAACCTAAGAAGGAAATTCACATAGATCATTTATCTAGTGTTCAGAGGACTGATATCAGGGATTATCAATTAAAATGAGTAGATGGGGTTAGTTGTTACTGAACTAAAACACAGACAAAATCATCTGTCCAAGGCTTCTTTTACAACCTAATTCCTGAGAAATATTATTTTGCATGTAAAAGAATAACGTCTCCAAACAACAGAAAGTATAATCGTGCTAACTAGATAAGGCTTTATCAGCACAGTGGGTCACTGACATATCGCTGTGAATTTCTCCACATCAAATATGCTTACTAATCACTTTTGCTTCCTCTCACCTAGTTTAACAACATGCAGATTTCTCTTTCTCATCAACTATCTCGATGTTTGCGATAAGAACTGATATGCTGTTAGATTTAATGACTCCCCTAACTAATTATGCAGATTCCTAGTCGTCCAATAGTATTACATTATTTATTATATTGTTCATTTTTTGATGTTCACTCGAAATCATTGATGGGGCTCGTAACGTGTTCAATAAACCATGTTGACTCATGACATTTTTGGCTGGAATCGATTACTAGCTGACTGATCTACGTTTCTCTTATATCGGTATTCATTCAAAAAGTGTACTTGCAAGATATGAAGGAAGAGCTCTTTTTCTACATATATAAGAAGGTATCATTTTTGGAGCTCAAGTCAAAGTTAATTAGCACTAACAACGAATACATTAATATGAATAATGAAAAATTAAAATATAATGTAGCGTTATTTATCCAAATCACAAACGTAAACACATATCAATGCAGAAAATGTACTATTAATAGAAAAAGGAACAGGAATTACCAATACAATATGAGTGATTGATTGGGACATTATTCAATACTCGATACTTTAGATTCAAAGCAAGGACACATCCACGAGATGTCCCGATCCAGAGATTTGGGACAAAATGTAAGTCTATATATAGGATACAGAATAATATATGAGGAAAGGTGAGATATTACAAAAAATTACTATTCTTTTCACACAAACTTTATGAATAAAACGTACCTTGTTTAGGGGATATCCATTCACTGAATAAAATTGTTTTAATTGTCTCACAGTTTAGATTATCTAGTGAGCTAGAACTTGCGGTTAAACTTCCCGGATGTGAAAACTGTGAAAGATCGGAGCACTTTTCTGTGATTTTTACGCACATGAAAACAAACGAGAAAGGAATTAAGAAAAAAAAAGATGTAAGATTTCCAGTTCGTTCAGATATTGATATATAACATGCACCTTATTAACACAAACATGATAACAGCATTAAGGAATATCACAAAAAAACGAAGCATATTCTTGCAAACACACCAGTTAGCAGAAAAAACAATGATACAAATATGAATATACATTACTTCAGACGCTCATATGGAATATAAGTAGTATGGACGTATATAACGTCGAAAGTGGGAAAATAATTTTTAAAATTAGTGGAAAGATGACCATAAGAATAACTTTCAGCAGGACGAACAATGAACTATCAATCCATTAATCTAAAAAATGAACAATACACATGCCTACGAAGCCAGAAAAATGTTCGATAATAAAAGTTAGTCATGTGTATATGTACATATACGGAATAAATATAACTGCTTTTACATACAACACACCTGTTTATGGAAATGAAATGTCTACGGTTACTTAAAGTGATTAAAAATAAGCTAATATTACTATATGAATAAAAAATTTTGCGTAAAATATTAGATAGTTGAAAATAGTAAAAGCATTATATAATGTGTAAAAAAATTGGACACGAACAAGATGTTAAATGACACAATATGAGTAACTGCTGAAAAGATAACACTTGTTAAAATGGTTGATCAGAAAAAACCATCCAAATACAAAAAAGAGAAATAGGCGTACAGTTATTTTACTCGCTGGATTAGAACAGAAACTCAAAGAAGTAAGAGATAGGACTTTATTACTGGTATAGTTTATCAGGAATATCTAAAGTTTTCTACTATAGACTAACTGTTAACCAGAGAATATGAACCTTCAGATTTGGAATATTCCTCAAGTTATTTGTATACGATAAACATTATGCTTCATAGGTTAGATGTTAGCTGGATGTAGACTGGATTAAAGCACATTCCGTAAAGGATTTTGTTGGGGTACACTGATTCTTATCCGGTCACTGCTAGTGGACATTTGGAGAAGGCTCTAGAATCTTCCTATGTAAGGACAATAAGTATACTAACGTTTCTCTTATTGTGATTCCTACTTCCATTCAACCTTTTTATTTGGAATATAATTACGTTCCTGTTCAACAGTGTTCTGGTTTGGAGACCTTCCGAGTGAAGTAGTGCCCAAGAATATTAAGCAATAAGAGCAGCTGGATCGTAATAAAAGAAATGATGACAGTATCCCATCCCCGTTGCTAAGATCACCAGGAACGATAACAATACAGTTAATGAGTGTCATTATTTCATAAAGCAGTTAGTTTTTTATGATAAGTATACATCTGAAAATGAACTTAAAAACATCTACATTATCTTTCCAGATTTCTAATTATTCATCGATTTAAATAATACCTGGTTGACGTAATATGACTGAAGAGTTTCCTGAATAGAACACCGAAACGCACGAGAAATCTTTAAGGCATAGCAGTGAACGAACATGAAAATTTTATCCAGGTGACTTTAAAAATAAATACTTATATCTCGTTCTACATAAAATGACTAGTATTTAAAATGTTATTAATAAGATTTGCACAGTAGATTTATTTTAATCATGAAGACAGTCTAAATAAAGCACCAATATCAGTGAAATCGAATGATATCTAATCCTATGTAGTCGAGTACAGCTTAATGAAGAATTACAGTGCAGTGTTAATCTAACCGTAACTTTTATTAGTTAAAATTTCAGCTCATCAACTCGAGAAAAACCCTTTGTACTTAATCCAAAAAATAACTTCGGCTACTCAAAAAGAGAAAACGAATAATATTATAAACCAGTCCAAATAATATTACTGTATGCTTCAATGAAAATAACAAATTTTTGCCCATTCACGAATAAATTAGCACAATTATATTCTAACCTTGATAAAGCTGATCATGCATTTTAAAATACCGAAAGAAATTATGAAGTGGAAAATTTTTAAATATCTGTTTACCCAACCTTAATGGATTTAAAATTTCAGCACGTGTAAACAGCAAATAAAGTGGTGATAAAAGAACTGATATACATATTCACATAAAAATGTGGTTAAAAAGATTCATTTGAATTATTAGGTCATTCATTGAGTACGCTAAGAAGTTCCCCACCAAAAATCTCAATATAAGATTTACGAATCGACTGGAGAAACTTTAAATCTTATATATCACGAGAATGCTGGTAATTTAACAACAACATACACACTAGCAGACACACATAAACCAACACAAAGAATACGGTAAAATCAAACAACCTGAAGAAGTGTTTTGTGCATTAGACGTTTGTCCTTGTTGACGAGATGATTGATTTGTTCGACAGGCCAAAACCACTATTATAAATGGATGTATATACAACAAATAATTCAGTTAGGTTGCTTATAATTATACTACATGTAAAAGGTTCCTCTGTTAGAAATAGTCTTTGTACGGGAAATGATAACAGTATGACTGTAAAATAAATTTATCATGCATTTTCTCTCTACTTGTGACACAATATTTACTCCAATCCATACTTAATAAACAGAGAATCTATTTGAGGATATTTCAAAGGATTGGTAAAATTACAAACTAGGAGGGGAATGAACAGGCAAATCTGTCGAAGAGAAGTCATGTTTAAGTTTTTGATATGTATATTAAAACAAACTACTGATTAAACTGAACGCAGCACAATGGAGTGAACTAAGTTACTACACACATTTTAATCCAGAGACTAATCAACAAAAGATAAGGAATATGAGAAGAAAACCAAATCAAATAATTATACACCAATACACTTCAATCTTTCGGTACTGAATTTTGTATAGTCAACCGAACAAAAAGGTCAAGTTTAAGCGATGAATTCGTCTGGGAAATTGTACTTATATTTCATATGAGTGTATATTGTACTGAATAACAGTGCGAATTCGAGTAAGTTATGCATCACTAATGAAAAAACGTAACTTATTAAAGATTGTACACATGTTATATATGTAATTCGTATTAATTAATCAGGTCTTCGGCTGTGAATCAACGTTTAACATTTTATTATCAATTTAACAACAAAGGTACATATTATCGTTACCACTGTCTTTCGAATTGTTACTGAAAATAATGTAACCTTCATATATAATCGTTACGATTGATGAAACGATCAAGGTTAAATGAGAGTGACTTAAGACAGCACAGGGACAATAAGGCATTTAGAGAGGTAAATAATAAAACAACAGATAATACGTTATTTATCATAATACATATTTACTAATCAGCCAACTGACCTTGGGACTTGGCACGTTTCAATTCACTTTTGACAGTTGTAGTTCTTGATAATACATAGCGTGTTGTATAACCGGTACTAGATGACTCACTCGATTGTGCAGCATCTGAATTTGAGTGGACGTTTTTCAAAGCTGTCTGATTGTTTATAATGCATGTATTAGCCAACGAAGTTGAGCCAGCTGAACTATTATTCTAATTCATAATATATTATTATGTATGCGAGAAAAGGAATATAAGTTAACCATTAACACATATTATGGGAAAAGTGCAAGTCTTAGTAATTAACCAGTGGTAATAGCAGTTACTAATGTACATCAAATGAATACATAGAGATCAGCCATGTTTACTAAACCTATGCAAATGAGGACATTGTGCGTAAAGAACCAGCGAGAATACTGAAACACTTACACATAGAAAATCTAATATTACCACAAAAAGGAGTAAAATATAAACAACAGTTCTAATATGAGATATAGTATACATAAATTCAAGCAATGTATTAAAAACTCACTCACAAACAGCTACTAAGGGATTAGTAGTTTTCAGCTGACTGAAGTTCTTAACCTCAGGCAACAAATAATATTATCACGATGGTGATGACGTGCGAGTCAATGTTGACGAGAAATCTTCCTAAATTTATATGATCCGTTCAGGTTATCATTATTATCAACTTTAAGTTCATTAATTCTGACTTTTAGTAGTGAATTATTAACTTTAACATCTGTATAATAATACTTTGTAATTATTCGATGACGTTTATCAATAGAACTATTTGCTTTTGATAACAAACATTTTTGGGTACTTTGGAAAATATCTATTCTTGATTGGCGTTTCTTGTGAGTATCAGTGAAATCATTACGATGATAAATTGAGGTGAATGCCCCTGAAACTAGATATGACACTGAATCTTCCATAGGATTGTTGCTAAAAGACTGATCAAGTATCGAAGAAGATATATTTCCAGAGAATATGATTGGTCCTGAATAGAAGCTCTACGAGATGATTGAGCAATAACAACATTGAAAGAATACTAGAAATTTAACGACATACACGACAATAACATAAGAAAACAAATACAAGACAACATATGTATTCAAGATAGACAGCACTCAATTAACAACTACAGATAAACATTTTATATAAAAGTAGTAAAATAAAATTAGGAGGGAACATGGTAAACACGTAAACAATAAACACACACTCAGATACACCTACGTAAACATATAATATAAGATTGAAATCAATGAATATAACTGACTCATTTATAAAGCAAGGAACTAAATTCATTGAAAAGATATGTTATTAATGTTAATCTCTTTAATTGAGTAGACTAAACAAAATAAAGTGAGTGACATGAAATTTTTTCGTTGAAATATTAGTCACTTAAAGTTCATAACACCAAACACAGTAAAAATAAAAAAGGAAGGAGCCTTTAATGACTATTTTGATCTGCCTATATCACCGACATGTTGTAAGGTAAAACTTCAGTAGACAAAAAAGATGCGAGTATAGAAATTCTGAGCCAGAATGATAAATCCTCAACGCCACATGAATTAATTATTTGATTTTTCTGATAGGAAGTTCTACAGACGCGTCAAGGATCATCACATGTGTAAATTGGGTGATACACTAAATCGTGTTAACTTTTTATTGTAATATTCAATTTAAAATAAGTGGTTATGATACAACTTTAAAAAGTAAAGAATGATCTGAATTATGTCAGTCAATGAGTTCAGAAACATTGGGATACAAGGATCATCCTCTACGAATAGTCACATATTAACTTTAAAGTTCTAAAGTGTTTCCTCGAGAATGAATAGTGTCAACATGTCATAGTCAACTAACTACAGTTTATACATAAACCATATTTTTTATTAAAAAGAATGACGGATAGAAAGGCTTGTAATGTATAAATTTATATTAATGGAGCCTTTAGTAGAGTAATTTCATTATAGCAGTAAAATGACACATGAATTAGCAAAATTTCAAACGAACTACGGGTCTTAAGTTATCTCTGATCTTCTGTATGGTTGTCTCATTCGAACACAAACTAAATTAACGTTATAGTACAGTGGATATTGGCAACTGACAGAGTTGTAAGCAAACGTTTGTAGTTTGAGGAAACTGTCAGCCTTTTTAGCAACTTATTGATAATTATTTCAAATCAACTACCGACACTCAAGGTCTGAGGGTGAAGTCGTACTGCTGACTGTAGAGGGGTGTGACAGCAGTAAGGTGTTTTCCTCGGACAACCAGCATCTGCAACGATGCTGCCTTCCCACAAGAAGGGGTGGAATTAGAAAAGGTTGACCCTAGAAATGTCACACCTCACCTTACCTCACGGATTTCCGTCTTATCTCCATGACTAACCCTTCTCACGTCCCTTTATCACCTCGCACCGCTAGGGCAAACGATTCGAGTACGCGGAACGCTATTCCTGGTCTCCTGAAACCACAATCTAAACTACACGTAGGAGCTTTTAACGTCCGAACAGTGTGCCAAATAGGACAGCAGGCTTCCTTAACTAGGACTTTAGAATCCCGCGCCATCGATGTGTGCTGCGTCTCCGAAACGCACATACAGGATCCGAGTAGCGTCATTCATCTGACCTCACGATGCCAAAATAAAGAACCGGCTCGATTTACGCTACGTGTATCTGGAAGCCCTTATTCTGCTTCCCGTGGCCTCGCCGGCGTAGGTATAGCATTGAGTCCTAGGGCAGAACTAGCTCTCTTAGAGTCGATCCCAGTAGACAGTCGTTTGTGCGCTGTCCGACTGAACGGAACAGTAAGGATCCGGAAAGATAGGGACACTCGTCGTTGCCTCTTCGTCGTCTCTGCCTATTCTCCCACTGACTGCAGCTCAGATGATGTAAAACATGAGTTTTACAGAAAGCTCTCCGACCTCCTCCTAAAAGCTAGGCGCTCGGATGTAGTAATAGTGGATGGTGACTTTAATGCTCAAGTAGGTAAACTAAGCGATAGGGAAAGACACCTGGGTGGATCTTATAGTGTCGTGGCTCAAAGAACAGATTATGGCAACCGTCTGTTGCAGGTATGCTCAGATAACCGCCTCTTTCTTGCAAATACTAACTTTAAGCATAAGGAAAAACATATTTTAATATGGCGACCCCTAATTCGTCCCAACGTTGGACCCAAATAGATCATTACTATCAGCCACCGATGGAGGGGCTCAATAGAAGACTGTCGCTCATTCTAGAGCACATGCTTAGATTCAGGTCATGCTCTAGTTCGAGCGCATATCTGTCTGCGTCTTACTGGACGTAGGAAAGACGCTGCAAGGAAACCTCTTAGGGTCCTACTTAATGATAATCAAGCTAGGAATATATTTCAGGAACAACTAGGAAAACAGTTAGGCAACCATGTAGGTGATGCCCACCCCGATGCAGCATGGAATGATATCCGAAAAGCTGTGGAAACAGCAGTGATATCTGCTAGTAAGGCAACCCGTAAGGTTAGGGAGCAACACTGGATCTCAGCAGCATCTATCGCACTGACAGATGCTCGGAAACTCATCCCATCTGGCTCTGAACATAATGAAGAGCGGAGTCAGCTTAAGCACAAGCCGACAAGAAGTCTACGCAATGATCGTGAACAGTGGTGGGTAGCGAAAGCAAGAGAGATGGAAAAGGCAGCGACAATAGGTAATAGCAGACAAATGTTCAGACTCGTTAAGGAAACCGGTATTAGGAAACCGACCGTTAGCGAAACAATCTCAGAGAAAGATGGACATATTATTCATTCTCAATCCAGGAGATTGGATCGATGGGCAGAAAACTTCAGGGATCAGTTCAACTGGCCTTTAGCCACACTTCGGTTTCCCACGATCTCCAGTCAACCTGAATGGTAAGTTAATGTAGGTCCTCCGACTCTTTACGAAGTTGAAAAAGCCATAGGAAATCTGAAGCGAGGGAGAGAAGCAGGCCCTGACAGGTTTACCCCTGAGATTTTTAAGGGTGGTGGTCCAGTATTAGCAATGAGATTAACTGAGGTCTTAGGTAGAATTTGGGAACTGGACGTAATCCCATCTGACTGGTCCCAATCACTGATTGTGCCAGTCTATAAGAAAGGAAAAAAGTTCTCTTGTGACAATCATAGAGGAATCAGTTTGACTAATATAGTATCGAAAATACTAGCCTCAATAATAATTCGACGCCTAATCAAAGCTCGTGAAGAGCAGATTAGAGAAAACCAGGCCGGTTTTCGACCTGGACGTGGTTGTATAGATCAGATATTCACACTACGTCAGGCTCTAGAACACAGACACACGTTCAGACGCCCCACAATACTAGTATTTCTCGACCTTAGGGCGGCATTCGACTCTGTTGATCGTAAGGTTCTATGGCAGTGTTTGTCACTGAAAGGAGTACCAAAGAAGTACATTAACCTTATACAGGCTCTCTACTCGAACACAACTGGTAGAGTGAGAGCTTATGGCAAACTGTCATCAGAATTGTTTGCCTCAAGTGGTGTTCGTCAGGGCTGTCCACTCTCTCCATTCTTGTCCAACTTTGTCATTGACGTACTTTTAGAGATAACACTCTCCTCATCTAAATTCCAGGGGTTGAACTTCTACCGGGAGGTTCACTTGTTGACTTCCTGGACGTGCGATGTTCAGTGGTATAGGAATAGGTTGGAAGAAAGCTAGGGGCGGCCAGACCAGAACATGGCACAAGTCCATAAAGTCACTGACAAGTAGACTGAGTCATGTTGGTAGATGTAGACTACCTGGTTGGGGACCGCGAGATGATAGCAACCGATGGTTAGTGACCCTGAATGACATGGCTCAAAATCGTTTGCAATGGCGCAGGTGCATACAATCTTTGTGTTCTCTCAGATTTTGATCTCCTTATTCCTCCTTGTCTCTTTTTTTTCCCTTCCCAAATTTATTTCACTGTATTATAGTCTTTAAGTAACATCTCCAAACACTAATCTTCCCGATTACTGCTTATACTCTTATTACCTCTATCACTACGGGATTTGAATCGACCACTGGCAACTCGAACTGATGTACGTACGTACGAAGTTCTACGTTGTTACTGACTGACTGAACTACCGACACTTATGGATTTAACATTAAAATCTAAATATCTCATGGCGTGCAAGAAACTATCATGTTCCTTTGAATCCAGGCTAACTGCTACTTAACAAAACTAATAATGCACTAAAAAACATTAAAAATGGATTTCGGAGTTTGTTCGATTTCAATACTACCACCTAGCAAATCCTGTTTGTTAGTAGAAAACTAGCACGAACATCTCAACAATGGGTTTACTGACACATTTGCTAAATTCCACTTTTCCGCCAAAAATCTAGGTACTTGAATAAGGTAAATAGTTCAAAATTCAAAAAGGCTCTCATTTGGTTTTCAGTTATTTCTTCATTAGAATCTTTTGAAAAAAAACTTATAGTCATGATTTTCGTTAAACATGCTAACAAAAAATGGAAAACTGATCAAATAAAACCTTTTTTCTAGGATGAATCATAAATAGAAAAAAATACTGTATGCTAAAAGATAAATATGTGCACATCTTAAACTGCAGAATATCCACTCAATATTTATGTTTTTATGCGAATATTTAAACTAATTAACCTGATATAAATGAATCGGGTTGATTTATAATTGAACCTCCACATGAGACTAGCATGAACAAAAGGAAGTTAACATTTTCGATCACCGTTTTATTAGAGCTAAATTTTATAGAAAAAAAGCCTGTTTGAAATGAAAACGAAAATAATACATCTGTATAGACAGGTGCAGAAAAAATTTCGCCTAAATCTAAAATGATCGCTTTGGTATTCATCGTTTCATTACATATAAACGTTTTTTCAGAAATGGTTAAACACAAAAATCATATGGTAATGGGAGTTCAACTAACGAAGATATAATTAACTACCTGATCACAGAATTTCACTTCACCCGAAGCAGACGACCCAGTTAGATTGATAGGACCACGACCTGATGGAGTTAGTTAATAAGCGAAAATAAATACTTATAGTATTAGTAGAACTGATAAAAATCATGTAAACTGTTTATTTGATAATATTGACAAAACTTTTCATTTGTTATGATAATAAGCAGAAATATATAACTACAATTATTGACGAAATGATTTAATTACCTAACTGAATCTCAATTAAATAAAACAATGATTATTTGATGAGCTGGCGGAGGTCACACGAGGTCTTAATATATGAAGTAGCGCGTGGTTTTAAAAAATTAATAACATAGACGCGTTGTTAACAAAAAATCAAACAAAAACATTCACAAAGTACAATCAATGATATATTCAGTCAGTCAGCTACCACATCGGACCAGACACATACATGCATCGGTCCAAGTCGCCATACCTCATTAGCACAACAAGATGAACACCAAATTCATAGAAGTAGTTGATTCAGTGGTGGTTATATATAATATAAAGATTGCATATAAGAACATAGTACAGGAAGAAAGAATTAGTTTGTAGAATGAAAGATATTGAGTAATTTTAATCTCACGGTTTGAGGGAAGACATAGAGTGTATACACCCACGCTATTGTGATCAATTCTGAGCCATATCACAAAGTCTCTAACCATTGGTTACAATAGTCACGCGGACCCTGACTAAGTAGTCTGCATCTACCAACATGGTTCAGACCAGAAGTTAGTGACTTCAAGCACTGATGATACGTTTTGGTTCGGTCGCCCCTAAAATTCTTCCATACGTCTACAACACTGCTCATCGTGGTAAACGGTGTTCAGGCATACGCAAAACATGGCCCAACCATCTCAGTCGATGAAGATTTACAACGTCATCAACTAATTTGCCATCATTCCCTAATACCCTGTGTCTAACCTCACTATTATTTACCCGGTGATCCCAGCAGAAGCCAGCAATGTTTCTAAGGCATCTGTCGTCAAATGCTAGTAGCTGACGAGTATCTTTAACTCTTAATGGCCATGTTTCACAGCCGTAAAGTAGAACAGAACGAACTGCCGCGCAGTATACAATTGTTCCAGCCAGTATGGCTGGATTGGCTCATCACGACAGGCAAGCTCGATCATCACGTTAAGGTAGCAACAACCGTTGAGACGAAACGATACATTGGTTTAAATATGTGTCGAATGAACAGTGTCAAACTAATCGACCCCCCAAAAAAATAAAATGATGAACAAAGAAGTTTTATAGAAGATTATCCAGCCAAAAGCATTTCCCTGAGTAATATTATCTTATTTAAAGGTTAACTTCATTTATCTAGAAATAAGCCCGCAAATGCCCTGATATGGCCAAGAGTGGGGTGGGCCCTCCGCCCGTCTCGAAATGCTCTCACATGGCCACGCGTATACAGCCTCTGCCAGGGAAGTCCTACACACTGTCTTCTAGTGGCGAAGGTGTTGTTTACAAAAATGAGAGGACGAAAAGCGAATGTCCAGCGCTTTAACCGGATCCCAAACCAATGGTGCACATGGGCTCCAGTATCCTGCGGGAACAAATGACGTATGAACCAATCGTTGGTCACCGGCTGCTATGGGACTGCATCTCCTCACGATGCTCCACTGCCTTGAGGGTAAGACCATTAGGTCAAAGGCTCGGGGAGTGGCCCCCTAAGAAAACCACCTGCTTCTGTTTGGGCACCCGGGTAGTATCACAGCCCACACACAAATGAAATAAAAATGACGATATTTACTGAAAATTTTAACAGTCAAACAATCCACATTATTATTTTTATTTACGTCATTTATTCACTCTTTTATTCCCACTTTATGTATCCTTACTTTTCGACTTATACAGCAGCTCGCCTATGGTGGAAACTTGGTTCTATCTAAACGTTCTCGAGTCACTGCCTGGTTGAAAATTGTATGCTACCACCGAATATGAGTACTGAAGCAGTCTTTATGAAACCACGTGCACCATTCAAACTGGCTGCCTTCAACGTTCGCACACTTATGCAGCTCGGACAACAGATTGGGCTGGTTATGTCTTTAGAAAGTCTTAATATTGACGTTTGCTGTCTATCCGAGACCCGTATTCAGGACTCTGATGAAGCACTACAAATTCGCTCTCCATCTGTCGCCCAAAAAGCTTGTTTTACGTGCGCTTATCCGGGGACCCTGTGGCATCTTCGTCTGGTCTTGCTGGAGTTGGTGTCGGACTAAGCGCCAGAGCTGAGGCAGCACTAATTGACTGAATCCCCATTAACAGTCGGATATGTGCTGTTAGATTAGAAAGTTCCATCAAAGTAAGAAGGAATCGGCGTGAGAAACGATGTCTTTTCGTCATCTTCGCCTATGCCCCGACAGATTGCAGCCTGGATGTAATCACGAATGAATTCAACCGCCAGTTAACTGTTCTTCTCCAGAAAGTGCGTTCGACAGATATTGTAGTACTAGCCGGAGACTTGAATGCTCAGGTCGGACGTCTAGGCACAAAAGGGAGTCATTTAGGTAGCCGATGGGGACTTCTTGGTCGCAGGTCAGATAATGGGAACGGTCTACCGCAACTGTGCACAGACCACAACCTGTTTCTGGCTAGCAATAACTATCGGCACAGTTATCGTCGATGTGCCACCTGGCGTCCTCCCTCCGCATCCCAAGCCTGGACTCAGATTGATCACATCGCGATCAGCTACCGCTGGCATGGTTGTGTACAAGTCTGGTGTCAGCGAAACAATCCGCGAGGATGATGGGATGCCAATTACTAACATCCATCAACGTCTTGGACGATGGGCAGAACTCTTCGAAGGGCAGTTCAACTAGTCTGCTGCTCTGGCAACATCGGTCAAACTGTCCTGCCCTCCATGGCCGGTGACGACTGATCTACCAAATGAGGCGGAAGTCCGCAAGGAACTCCAACTCTTGAAACGCTACAAGTCACGGGGCCAAGATGACTTACCTCTGGCCTTTTTAAAGATGATGGTGACTTTCTGACTAAAGAACTGACGATGTTGTTTACAAAGGTTTGGGAACTAGAGAGTGTACCAACGTCATGGAATGAGTCGATAGTTGTCCCTATCTTTAAAAAGGGTTCACGTCGTTCCTGTAACAACTATCGGAGGATAAGTCTACTTCCGATTGCGTCCAAGCTATTGGCTTCCGTTATACTTCATAGGTTGTTCAAAACCCGAGAATGATTGACTCGCGAGGAGCAGGCTGGGTTTCGTTCTGGTCGAGGATGTATTGATCATATGTTCACCCTCCACCAAATGTTAGAACACTGTCATATTTATCAAGGGCCAACAATCGTAGTGTTTCTTGACTTCAGGGCTGCCTTCGATTTGTTAGACAAGACTGTTCTCTGGGAGTGTCTGTTGAAGAAGAGTGTGCTTGAGAAGTTTATTAACATCTTCGAAGCCTTATATACTAACACCTCAGACAGAGTAAGGGAATACGACCACTTTTCTCCATTGTTCCATTCAAGCAGTGAGGTTAGACAGGGTTGCCCAATCTCACCATTCCTCACCAACTTTGCCATCGACGACATTCTGGAAACAGCTCTGATGGATGTAAGTAATGGTGGTGTGGATCTGTTGCCTGGAGAAAGTCTTCTTGACTTTGAGTATGCGGATGATATTGTCTTACTGTGCGATAATGCCCAAGGCATGCAATCCTCACTTAACCAGTTGGTAATCAGTGTCTGTAAGTATGGTATGTGCTTTGCACCTTCGAAGTGCAAAGTACTTCTACAAGACTGGCAGGATTCTAATCCTATACTGTGTATCCGGGTAGCTGAGTAAGTGTTGGTGGTGGCGTGAGTGATGAGACCAATTTACGGATAGTGAAAGCCAGAGCGGCTTATGCCAATCTGGGCCATCTTTGGCGCCTTCGTGATGTCAGTCTGGCTGTAAAAGGTTGGAACTACAACGCGTCAATGAGATCAGTTATTATTTTACACTACCCTACACTAATCTGGTCGTTATTGTTCTTTTTCCTCTTTTACGCTTCTTACCTTCCTTTTCTCTCTTTTCCCATTCTCATTGTTTTGTGTGGCGCATATATATTTGGTGCCCCCTTATACCAATATGTGTTCAAATAAATAAATAATGAATAAATAATTTGGAAAGAAAGAGTTAGTAATCTAGTACTCTTGAGAGTGATTGAAGAGAATGAGACTATAAAACAGTGGTTGTGTTCTTATTTGATGAACATATGTTCAGAATAATGGAGTTTTAATGAAATCGTTAAGATTGAAGAATAAAAAGACTGAATCCATCGCAGAGCCACTAATAACATAAGTTTAATAAAAAATGAAATCAATAAGTAAATGTATAGGTACAATATTCCGCTATCAAACTGCAAAAAAATACTTGCTACCACAGATACATAAAAAGGTTGTCATCTCAGGCATAGACTACGTAAAATTAACTAATAACGTCTAACTGCTTAGACAAACAGGTCAGTTAAATGTGTGTACTACTTGTTCAAGAGTAGTCAGTAATAATGCACGTTTATTATAAAGAATACTATTTGAAAAAACAAAAATCAGATAAGACGAAAAGCAAATTCAGACAATTTAAAAAAGGGAACTCCCTCTAGAAACAAACACTGACAAAAGTGGGGACAGCAATTTTTTATTCATTTTGTTCATGCTAGTGATAATTACTAGTTTGACTTCAAAAATCCACCAAAAGAGATAAATGGAAATGGTTGGAGAAGAAAGTATTGTAGCATCAATATTCATTGTCTAACAACAAGGTTTGACTGTAATTAACCCGGTCAAATGTATCGATGAGATTAAGAAGTAGTTAGTATTAAGTAGACGAAATGGGGTATCATAAATAATGTAATAAATTTGAGATATCGATGAATTAGATTGTAATGCGTGTTGTTACATTGTCCAAAAGTATAATGATGGAGTACTAAAACCGATTCTTTACAAATAAACAATACACGTTCATAACCTAACTACTTACGCCCGATTTCATTATTACTAATCATCGATAAAAGTATGAATCCAAGGAGTCCAAGACTATGGACTAAACAGCTATCCAGTTGCCTTTTGATATCAAATGATGTTGCTTCATGAGAACAAGCTGTAAATTAAACAATAATTTCGACAATTCTCCAATAATAAAAAACAGATATTTAGAAAATAATGGATAGTATAGTTAAAAATTTAAAAAACTCACTTAATAAGTCAGAAGATGAAATAGACAGCAAGCAAATCTTGTGAACATAATCCACAACAGCAATGCCGAATTCGCTTCCGATAGCCATTCTAAAAACAAGTAATAGTTCCACTGTTAGAATGATAACTAAAACGATTGTAAGTAAATTGAAATAACCTTTTGTACATGATGACTAAAAAATGATGTAAAAAAAATAAGATGAGCATTTAAAATGTGCCACAATAGCTTGATATTTATAATAAGCCTAAATGAACTGTTATTATGAACATAAGCAGTCTGTCAGGTGTGATTTGAAAAGCTTATATTCTATCCCGACGAGTTACAATACCATAAACATTTGATGAGGCACATGATAAATTAAATGAGGATAAACTTTTCTAAACATGAACGAATATTATTTTCTCAGTGAAGGATTGTGAGCTGGATTTCAAAGGTTTAAACACATTAGAGGCTAGAGGAAAGATAATGACCCAACGTTTCACAAGATAATCATGAACAGTTTGATTGACAGAATGAAACTCGTGTGTACTCTCAAGCAACTTGACTAAAAATTTGAAACGAATAACTCAGTCAGCCTAGATGATCAGATTTATACGGTTCAGCAGATTTAAATTAGACTTCTTTTTTGCGTAAATTCAGGACGCAGTTAATGAACAGGTACCGTGATTAGTTTGTACCATTAGAGCTACGAACGGTAATTTCGTCTAAACAATTGAAACAGGATGGGAAGTAGAGATTTTCTCACAAACAGATGGTAGAATGATCGAAAAAAATGGACATTTTTCACCTAGAAATAATTTGTGTTCGACGATCTAGTTAAAAAGTAAACAAAGAACTATAATTAGGAAGTTTGAAACTTACAAACTAAAAGCTGAACTCATACTAATAGCTGTAATAGATGGCGGAGGGATGAGACAGGAAGCTGTAGGATCGGTACTTGACTTTATATTTGACTCAAAGCTTAGTCCAAGTATGCCTACACGACAAACAAGAAGTGGTTGGTAGCCAGGAGGCCAATGATGGCTACCTTGACGTACTGGAACGAATACGCGTAAATCCTATTCAAGGAAGAAAGAATGTCGAATACTCTTTTAATACTACACATGATAAAAGAATAAACTTTGTGGAGATCACTAGTTTCACAATAAAGAAATGTTATTTAATCTTACATTAAGAAAGCAATAATTTGACCCTACGGAAAATATAACAATCGTTCAGTAGTTCACGTTTGCGGGCTCTGCTTTAAATGATACACAACAACAATTCCACGTTGATACTCTACACGCAAATATATGGTTGAGAAAGCAAGACTTTAAGAATAGTTTTGTTCCGAACATAAGTCAAAAATTAAAGTGAAGCAACCCAGTTTATATAGCAACATCAAGCCAAATTAAGAAAATAAAATGGTCAAATTGAAAATCATAATGGCCAATAAATCCGATAACACTAAATGTCATCGCAGAAATATGAGTTAGTAAAATGTGACCGAAGAGATCGTTTAAAGAAATAAAAATAAAAAAAACTAGATAATCTTAGTTTTTTAAAAGAATATTAAATGAAGAATTTCATGTAAATATAACGGAAAGGAAAAGGACAAATAAAATCAATAAATATGCATGAAGATAAAAAGAATGGAAGCTATGTAAATAATATAATGTGACTTGTATAACACATCAGCTGATTTTATAGGTCATCGAGTTAACAATCGACGAATGTCCTAAATGTTGCTGTTCAGAGTTTAATTATGACAAACTCTAGTCAACAACTTGATCGTTTCTAAGAGTTCGTGTTAGTAGGGCTTAAGAGTTCCTCAGAAAACCCTTCAGAAGTTGAGAAAACGCTGAAAATACTTGTCCAATCAATCGAAATGAGCTTCCCATGAAAAAAACGACGGATTATGTGTTATATCCTGAGTGGATAAATACCGACTTTATTACTAACTGTAGCATGTTCCCAAAGGCTCCCAAAATACCAGGTTCATATCTAAACCTATTAATGTGCTGAAGTAAATTCCAGAGTAAAGCTTCTTTACATACTAAGAGTATTTTGTTTCTTTGTTCCGAGCTCAGCTTAAGTTTCAGAGATGTTTGTGGAAGTACGAAGCGCTTACAAGTCAATGTTAAGCGTTGAGATATGAGAAATATCAGGTTGTTAAAAAGTAAACATAAACGGCTTAGTTGTTGAATAATCAGTTATCTTCTCCATTGAATTTCGACTGACAGGAATGAGTAAATCTAGTCAGAATGCTAGTAATATCTTTCATTTTTTTCGATATAACCGATGAGTTGAACTGAAAACTTGAATAAAAACTGGTTATATTAGTTATTAAACTTGTGGACTACTTATGCAGAAGTTGAAATAACAAATACTTGATAAAGAAAAATTACGCTAGTTACAGTAAGACAATAGAACGAAAGCGATAACATTTAGACCAACAGAACGTAGGACATAATTTATTGTGATATAAATATACAGAAAACATGAAATTTCGATCAGCGTATTTCTTAGGATAGATATATAAAAATAAAAGTAATCTACGTATCGTCATTATTGTCCCTAAATATGTCTTGTTAAATGCCTGCATGAGAGCATACGCATAAAAATATGAGACAATAGGTATTGATAAACACTAGTCACAGATGTCAAGAATATATAACCGCTAAACAAACAATAAAAACCACAAAAAGAATACTGATAATAATTTTTGATAATCATCCAGAAAAAAATTTGTTTCGTTCACAGCTTATTCATTTTTTTTATCAGAATGGGTTTTGTGGAGAGTTTTAGAAATTTCACAGGTTGAAATCATGAGTCAGTTGAAGCTAGACCAGCACTGAAAACCTGGAAGCACTGGACGGCCGTTTCGTCCTGATATGGGACTCCTCAGCAGTGCGCACCCACGATCCCGTACCACGCGGGATAACCTGGAAATCACTCTGTTTGATCAGTACTCACATGGAACCCAGTGAGCAGCTGCTATGTCCATTTAGACTAGAAAGAAAATTCCCACCAAAAACCATTCTTGCAACCAGTTTATCAACTGAATTCTCGATCACATGTTTTCATACATCTAAATGGTGCGCATCTCCCAATTTAAAAAAAATACGAACATGTGCAAACAGTTTCTAAGTGAATTGAATGTCACAAAATAAGTACATTCCTTTTCCATTCATCTGTGGAAAACAAGAAACATGATTACTTCAAATAATCACAAATGTGCTGATGGGAAACGAAATAAAATCTATCTAATGAAATACAACAGAACTTCTACTAAGTAAGCTTTTAACAGTTCATGAATAACTTATCAGATTTCAAAAGGAAAAAAGTTTGGATTAGCTACATATTTATTGATCTTTTTATCAGAAAAATTACATCAGATATTTTTGACGGTGCGAAATTTGAAATAAATGAAGATCAAATAATCAGAAGGAAAGTTAGTAGATCTAGTATATAATACGGGAAATTCGGTTACGAATAGAACTCCGTAATAAGAATATATTGTCACAACTCTATATACACATCACTAAACGTTTAGACAAATTAGCGAAATGAAAAGAACTAATAAAAAAAACAACGCTTCAAGAAAAATTAAATAGGTCAGTTTAGTCACGCAATGAATGTATGCAAGAAGATACTGTAAAAGTTGTAGGACATTTTAAGTCGTAAATATTTTTCACAATCAATTCAAACCACTGTAAAGCACGGTAATCAATTTGCACAGAAAATAAAGAAACCTAAATACAGTAATAAAAGGTTGAAAACAAAGTATACAAAGTTTTTATCAAGAGAAGATTGAAGAACAATTTTAAACAGTAGAAAATTGAAAACTATAAAATAGTTATCCATTACAGAGTGTTTGGTTCAAAAATGTTGTTTAGTTGACACAAAGTTAGTGTCTTAAAACCGAAGTTCTTCGTTTAATACAAATCGCAGTTTGCAACAGTCTGGGAATTCGAAAAACTTTGGGTGAATGGAAAGAGAGATGATCTCAGAATAACCAAAGTGTGTACATTGAATTCAGACGAATATCTGGCTTAAACTTCGTATGTTATTGTTAAAGACTGGGTAACACGCGTCAAAATCAATTATGGTGGAACCAGCTGAGATGGGTATCATTACCAAGGTTTGACTTGGTAGTTTTAAATGAATTGAGCATTGGGTAGATTATTATCCATAACTATAATTTATTTATATACAAAGGTTCCTTTGTACTATTTAATTATTTTTATTTGGTTATTTACTCTCTGAAGAAGTGTCTTACACTGAGTTACGAAACGTCAGAAAATTTAATGTTTCTACTCATTGAGATATTACAAATATATTATTTTTATTTACAGCTGAGATAGTTTGCTATCTTCCTCTAAAAATATTCAGTTTAATTTCGTTGCATTTTTGTCATTATTCGGTTTCATTTGTTCCGTGTGAACTCTAATTCTCATGTATAGGCTTCCTACCTCAGTTGGTATTATTTTCCCCCTTATATTTATATTCATTTAGTCAGTTTCCTTTCTCGTTGCGTAGATGTACGTTACAGAAAATTAGGGCGACAAACACTAGTGTCAGAACGAAGGTTGACTGTGACTCAATGAATTATCTAAAGAAATGTAATTTTGTCTCAATTTGCTTGTGATAAATATAGTATCTGACAACCCCCCCCCCATTTTTCACAATTATCTAACACAAATCCCATTTTTAATAAGTACTCTTCGGGAGATGAAAGTGATATGGTATGATATATGAGGGAATTCAACACAACTGACAATCATTAATTATGTAACCATGTATCCGCAATAAAAACGTTAAAACTTAACAAAATGTTCAATTCCTTCCTTCCATAATGAAGTAACGAATAAGTCAAAAATGGTTTAAGGACACAAAGTGCATTCATAAATAAAAATTATAATCCTTGCAAATGATATTTTTATACAGAACTTTTTTTCGATAATCTACTACATAGAATGGGTACGTACCCCAACCAGAGGCGATAGTATAGTTGATCTAATATTTAGTAGAGATGTCATCCCACTATCTGTAAAAGTATACCATGAATTTGAAAGCAGTGACCATAAGATAGTAGTCTGCGCTCTCCTTATCTATGCCTCTTATAATCGACCCATTCAAAAAACCTGTCAATAAAGAGACTATAAGCATGCTGACTGGGACCTCTTGGATTCACTGATTAAACATTCAGAATGGGATAATTTTTTTTCATGTAACAGTCTCATGGATGCTATCGACGAATTCTATCTGATCGTTAACTCTTGTTTAGATTCCTGTGTACCTCTTAAAACGTACAGGTTTAGTAAAACTTACGAATTATATATACCAGCTAAATATCGTAATAAGCTAAGACGCCTACAGAGTCGTTATTTTAAGTCAAACGACTTCACGGCAGTTGCACAAATAACAATAATTTTTAATTAAATTAAAGAGAAACATAGTTTAAAAGCCATTAATGAGGATATACTAGCACTTAATACTAACTTAAAAGTACATAAAATTAACTCTCCTTTTCAATAAACGGGCTAATGCAACTCAAAATGTTGATATACCATGCATCCAGCATAATAGCACTTTTATATACGACTCTAAAACCATGGCCGACCTTTTCAGTAGTATATTCGCGAATAGTGTAGAAAACATAAGTGGCAATGCTTCAAGAGTTATGTGCGTGACTAGCAACTCAATAAAATTTATCCCCTTCACATGCATGAAAATTAATAAGGCTATAAATACCCTTAAGCTTTCGAAAGGTCATGGAGTAGACGGGATTTCATCATTTCTCTACAAATATGGTGGTCCAGATATTCAACTTCTTCTTCTAAAGCTGTTTACTCTCTCTATGGAAACCGGTTCTTACCCTTACTGTTGGAAAACCGCGTACATCATACCTCGTTACAAATCTGGAGATAAGACTGACATGAACAATTACCGGCCAATAAATATTACTCCAGTTATTTCTAGGATTATGGAAAAAATTATAAGTATGGAACTTTCCAACTATTTACTTGCTGGAAAATTTATCAATGATACTCAACATGGATTTCTTAAAAATCGTTCTTGGATGACATGTCATTTTGACTTCTTTAATTTAGTCTATTCTCTAAGTAGCCAAGGATATCTAGTCTTAGTGCTATATCTGGACATTTCTAAAGCCTTTGACATGGTTAGCCATCAACTTCTTATAGGTAAGCTCGCATCTTATAGGGTTTAAAATCCTTTGCTAGCTTGGCGTGATTCCTTTCTCAGCAATCGACATCAAATAGTTAAAATTAACTCTTCATTGTCTAACGCTGTCCCTGTTAGAAGTGGTGTAATACAAGGTAGTGTCTTAGGCCCTTTGCTCTTTTTAGTGTTTATCAATGACATTTGTGAAAGTTTTTGTGTCGGTAAGCCCCTTCTATATGCAGATGATCTTAAAGTAGTATATTCATTTTCTCCACATGACCTGAAAAATATGCAGAATTGCATCAGCATGGAGCTTAACAAGGTAGCACAGTGGTGCTTAAAATGGCAACTGGAGCTTAATACGGCTGAATGTGGATGGATATGTTTCGGCAATACATCACTCAACCTAGACATTACCATAAATGGAGAAGTGTTACCTAGGTTACATACAGTAGTAGACTTAGAACTTAGATATTCCCAAGACCTGTCGCTTACAGAACATATATTAAAACAGACCTCTAAGTCTCAACGTCTAATAGGTTACATAACTCGAAATCTTCACAACACTGAGTCACGTATTCTAATGTACAAAGTTTGTGCTCGACCTCTTCTGGAATACTGCGCTTCTATTCTTAGCAGTGCGCTCATAGAGGATAAATTAAGGCTGGAATCAGTACAGAGACGATTTACACTTCGTATTCTTGGAGCTGATTGTACCTTAACTTATAATTCTAGATGTAATAAACTTGGGCTAGACCCTTTATGGAGGAGGAGACTCAAACTAAATCTTATCTTTTTCTTTAAACTACTTCATAAACTATCATTTACATCCGATCACGCGATTCAGTATGCAGAAACCTCTCATTATGACATCCGTAATTCCTTGGCACTAGTGAAAGAAACTCATTCTAAATCATCTCTTTATATGAATTACTTCACATGTAAATTTTCTAGACTCTGGAATAACCTACCACAATCTATCCTACGATAAAATCACTCCCATTATTTGTTCGCTGCGTCGATGCATACTGCTCCTCTGAAAATGCATTGAATATTCTAGCACCTGTAAGTGTATCTAATTTCACAAGTGATATTATAGGAACTTTAAATGTTTAGCCACTTTTATTAGTACATTCCCTAAGTAAAACCACCTACTTGCTGTCACTTTATGTTAACACCGTCCCAAGTAACTTTAACTAATTTGAATAACATCTAACATCAACGTTATATCACTGTGTCACATGACACACGCATTTTGGTAGACCTGATTGACATATTTTGGTAATTACTGCTTCGTTGTTCCGTGCTCTCTGTTTTCATTTTAATTTCTCTAGTTGTAGAAAATTATCATTAATTCGATCTGGCACACGAAATGACCTTTAATTACACCGTTTATAAATCAACGGGCTGTCCATTTAAGAAATATTAAAAGTTCCCGGCTGATGCATTGGATCGCTGTAATACATGTACTATCTAAACAATCAGTGAATTAGTATGCCTAAAACTTTCTTCTATCACATGTTTGTTCTGTACATCTAATCTTACTATTTATATGAAATTAAACATGCCTGTAAACTGGCGTGAATTCTGTAATTATTATTTTCAGAATATATAAATTATTATTATTAATCCGTTGGATGATTAAGATGAAATGTTGGTTATTGAAAGTTTTAATTTTACTGTTGGCATGACAGAAATACTTTTAAAAAAAACCAAATGCCTTTACATTGTTTACAAAACCCACCCTTTCTGTTGGAGATGCAGATTGATAAGAGCTAACACTCCCACTGGATACATGAGGTAATGACTGTTGGACAGTATCCTTAGTCACGTTACCGGATAAATTTTCAGCAGTATTCAAATGATCATCAGAGAAAGTATCACCAGTTGAATAGGCGAAACCAATATCATCTAATCCATCATAAGCCATATTGATATCCATAACCTGACATAAATAAAACAGATGAAAATGCGTATGAAAAAAAAGAAAATAAACTTACGAGGTGTTCATCTCTGTGTGACGAAGAGTTTAAAATTGAAATTGTAAAAAACAGACTAGTAAAATAAAATGGTACAATATATTCACTGAACGGAAAGTTGAAATCATATTTTTATTATCGGAATGATATAAAACGTAAACAAAAAAAGCAGTGAACACGATGTCATTGAAGCTTGGAACAAACGTATTTATTATTACGTGATACATGTTAGTGTAAAGATAAGTAAAGCATCACAAAAAATGGCCAGAAGATACCAAGTATGAAACAAAGGTTATGTAATCGTTAGTGAGATGATGAAGTGTGTGAAGGGTAGTTATTTACTTGATAAATAAAAGGAAAACGCATGAGTGGACAGGCGGCAATAAATATATATATATATATACAATAAATCACAACGAAATCGGGATCATGAAAAATTATTGATTGGGCAAGTTGCCTTCGAATTAATGATTGATTCAGGAAGGAGATAATAATGTTGAGTCTTATGTAAAAAAGTGAAAACAAATTGTCCTACTTCTTATCAGTACAGTCATTATATCCACTGAAATCGAAAAGTTGCTGGAAAAAATCAAATGACAACAAAAACACAACAAACTAATATTTTAACGTCGAAATAATACACCACTTAAACGACACATTTATGTCAATTATATATATATAGGTACGCAAAGAACCAATAAACATATTGGTATACAATTCATTAGTACATGTAGAAACTAACTAGGATTTTCATTTGTTAAGAGAAAATAAAGTCATTTGGCTACATAGACATGAAGAAACATGTATGTCCCAAAATTTATCGAAAATAACTATCATTTATGTAGTTCATGTGATTCTTTTCCTCGGGACGATAACGACTAATATGTTTCTTTCGTGTACGCTGAACAAATGAAACGATTAAATAAGTGCACACTGATACATAGATTGAAAACAAATGGATATTTTAGAGATGCACTGGTATGATTAAAATGTTTTCAGAGAAGACCCTATGACTAATTCAATCTAATTAAAATGTCTTAGTGTTCGGATTACAAGCCAACTTCGATATTCATAACACTAAGTAAGATTGTACAGTAATCTGATCTGTTGTGTATAACTCTGTTGACATCAATAATAATAATAAACCAATATTACTCCACACCAGTTTTTCGTGAAAATAAGTTTCCAAGGAATAATTAATTGAATACTCTTAATAAATTTAAAGCTAGAGAAGCAGCTATGAACTTGAGGTGTATAATAATTTTTAGATGATACAAAAGAGAAATAATGTACTCATTGATGATCAATATCTCTTTTGATGAATACTAACTGATGAAAGTAAAAATCGTAAAATCTATAACGCATTTGTTATCTATTAAGATACAACTGCACAAAACTAAACATTCATGTCTATCATATGCTTTTGAGTTTTGATAAACAGTTCTAACGCAATTAAAAACAGATGAGTTTGCTTTAAACTGTACAGTGAGATCAAGTGATAAGAATTTCAAATTCACCAGGGTAACGACATATTCTTATAATGCTTAAACACCTGCATATTCACTCAGTCCACTTTTGTCTAATTTCCATTTTTCGTTATCAAATGAGTAAATCATGCGTGAAACAATGGTTTTTCATTTCATATTTAATCACATGAAGATTCTTATGGTATTAGATAATATTTCTATTATCTTATATGACATAAAACGTTAAGGTGTGTTTATGTACTAATATTTTATATCACAGACAGAAGAATAAGGATACATATATTATATAAAAAAACATAATTCCCATACAGTAAAAAATCTAAAAACACAAGTTATCAGATAAGGTATACTTTGTCATGCTAATAGTACTTTTAGCTGAATGTAGACTACAAAACATCCTGAAGTCTAAATTGTATTTAAAATTCATAAACCCGACTAGACAAGAAGAGGTGAATGACATAAAAACGAAATTTCAATCAAATTATAAACACTACAGTACACATATGGAGTGGTTAAATTATTTGATTCGATACTGTTAAACTAATTTTGTGATAATGAAAAATATCAATTCCAAGGCCTAAAAATAACTCAGTAACGTACAAAAACGCACATGGACTGCACCGGATCACACTACACAAAACCAAATCGACCATATCTCCATCAATAAAAAGTTCAGAAGGACGATGGAGGACGTAAGAATAAGACAGGGGCTGATATAGCCTCAGATCACCACTTGCTGGTCGCCAAGATGAAATTGAAACTCAAGAAGCACTGGATAACAGGGCGGATAACATCATAAAATTTTAATACAGCCTTTCTTTGGGATACTGACAGACTCAACGAATTCAAGAAAACCCTCAGCAATAGGTCCCAGGCCTTTCACGATCTACTCAATGTAGAAGGAACGACTATGGAGAACAACTGAAAGGGGATCAAGGAGACAATCGCTTCAACATATCAGGAGGTTCTGGGCCACAAGAAGCACCATCAGAAGGCATGGGTCACATTTGATACACTAGATAAGATTAAAGAAAGGAGTAATAAGCAGGGAACAATCAATATCAGCCGAACAAGAGCACATAAAGAAAAGGCACAAGCTGAATACAAGGTAGCAAACAAGTAATGAAGAAGAGCATCAGAACAGACAAACGTAAATATGTGGAAGAGGAAAAACGAGACAAATGTATGATACAACTAAGAAACTCGCAGAAAATCATCGTAAAAAAGAAGGAATAGTGAAAAGCAAGGAAAGCAAAGTATTCACCACCACTGAAGAACAACGAAACAGGTGGGCAGAGCAATTTAAGGAACTTTTGGATCCACCAGCCCTGATGAATCCATCCGACATTGAAGCAGCTACCCACGGAACTGCCGACCGATGTTGAGCCACCAACAATTGAAGAGATCACCATGGGCATAAAACAAATCAATAGTGGAAAAGCAGCTGGATCTGACAATATATCAGCTGAAGCACTGAATTGAGACACAGAAGTAATTGCAAACATGCACCACGTTCGATTCAGGAAGGACACCTCATCAAGATATCAAAGAAAGGAGATCTGAGCAAATTTGAAAACTACAGAGGTATCACACTACTGTCAGTACCAGGAAATGTTTTCAACAGTGTTGCTGAACCAGATGGGAAACTCAGTAGATGAAAAGTCCCGACAAGAATAATGAGTGGTAACTTTTGGGATCCATTTATGAACCAATACGAAACGTATATTTCTATTGTATAAATATTAAGTAACTAAACTATGCATATTCATATTCCTCTTATTATAAGCTTTATTTTGATATATAAACTATTATTATACGTTTTACCATTATTACCTCCCTCATTCATAGCCACATCTGGCTGATTCTTGTACAAATGTTGTTTCATATTTTATTGGTACGATGTGGTCTGTCTGATTGGTATATAAACCGAGTATGTTTGAATTACATGATTCATATCGCAGAGGCTCGGATTGATGTTCTGGACTTAACTGACTGGGCTAAGCAGGGAGCAGGAGCAATAAGGAATCTAGACTGCTTATACGGTTTTACGCGTCATTGATGCGATCGATAAGGCACTGCTCCCTAATTGGCGATATCGTTACGTTATACAATAAACCGGGCACACAGGTCACAAGTTATAACAGTAGACACCCAACTTCGAGATGAACAGGCCGGATTCCTTAAAAATCGGTCGTGCACAGACTAAATTGCGACACTATGGATCATCGTTGAACAATCAGTTGAATGGAACTCGTTACTTTACATCATCTCGCTTGATTATGAGAAAGCATTTGGCAGTGTGGATAGGAGAACATTATAGGATCTTATTCGACACTATGGTGTACCTGAGAAAATCGTCAACATCATCCGGAATTCATACGACGGAATACAGTGCAAAGTCGTGCTTGGAGGACAGCTCACAGACTCATCCAGAGTAAAGACCGGTTTCAGTCAAGGTTGCTTACTCTCACCCTTTCTCTTTCTCCTGGTGATCGACTGGATCATGAAGACCTCAACAGCTGGAGGGAGATGGGATAGAGTAGACAGCTAGGATCCAGCTGGACGATCTATACTTCACAGATCATATGGCTCTTCTATCGCACACGCAACAACACATGCAGGAGAAAACGACCAGTGTAGCAGCAGTAGGTCTCAACAAACGTAAAGGGAAAACCACGATTCTCCGATACAACACAGCATGGACCAATCAAATCACAATTGACGGAGAAGATTTGGAAGATGTAAAAGACTTTAAATATCTGGGTAGCATCATTGATGAGCACGGTGGATCTGAAGCAGATGTGAAGGCGCGGATCGGCAAAGCAAGAGCAACATATCTACAATTGAAGAACATATGGAACTCAAAACAACTGTCAACCAACACCCAAGTCAGAATTTTCAATACAAATGTCAAGACAGTTCTATTGTATGGGGCGGAAACTTGGAGAACTACGAAAGCCATCATCCAAAAGATACAAGTGTTTATTAACAGTTGTCTACGTAAAATATTTCGGATCCGTTGGCCAGACATTATCAGTAACTACCTACTGTCGGTGAGAACAAGCCAGATTCCAGAGGAGTAGTAAGCTCTGGAAGTGGATAAAACACACATTGAGGAAAGCACCCAACTGTGTCATAAGAAAAGCCCTCACTTAGAATCCTCAAGGCTAAAGGAGAAGAGGAAGATCAAAGAACACATTATGCCGAGAAATGGAGACAGACATGAGAAGAATGAACAACAATTGGATAGAACTAGGAAGGAAGACCCACGACAGAGTGGGTTGGAGAATGTTGGTCGATGGCCTATGCCCCATTGTGGGGAACAGGTGCAATTAAGTAAGTAATATATATTTTTGTAAATAAACTATGAAAGTAGGATTAATAATATTATGAGAAATACTACTGTGCCGGGATCTAAAAGAGATGGTTACGTCAAGTACTTGAAGGCGACTCAAGTACTAATGTATCGAAACAAAGGA